ACCCGGTGTGGTGCGAGCTGTGGTGGAACCAGTGCGTCTACTACCCGTACCTGCACGGCGAGTTGGCGCCGCTCGACCGGCTGCTAGAGCGCTGCCTCTGGCGCACGGCCAAGGCCGACGTACTGGACCAGATCGAGGTGCCCGAGCAGTCCGAGCGGCTCGTGCTGCTCGACTTCTCGCCGGTCGAGTCCTACTTCTACCGGCGCCAGCACGAGGAGTGCTCGCGCGCCGCGCTCGCCCGGCTAGCGGCGCTCGGCGACGACTCGCTGCAGCTGCACGACATCGAGCGCTCGGCCGTCAACCAGCTGCTGCACCCTCTTCTGCGGCTGCGCCAGGCCTGTTGCCACCCTCAGGTGGTGCGCGGCCAGTTCATGCCGCTGCACAAGTCGACCATGACGATGGAGCAGCTGCTGGAGCAGCTGATCCGACGCGCCACCGCCGAGGCCGAGGAGGCGCACCGGCAGCGCACGGCGGCGGTGCACGGTCTGGCCGCGCTGCACGTGGAGCGCGCCGAGTGGGAGGCGGCCGCCGACCTGTACCGCACCGTGCTGCGCGAGGCGGACGAGCTGCGGGACCGGCTGCAGACCGACATGCTGCAGCGGCTGCACGCGCTGCACAACCTGGCCGAACTGGTGGCGGCCGGCCGGCCCATCCCGCCCACCACGCGCGACCACCGGCTGCGCGCCGAGGCGGCCGAGCTGCGCGCCGCCTACGTGGGCCGGCACTCGGCGGCGGTGACGGCGGCGCGCGCCGCCGCCGCCGAGCTGACGGCCGAGGCGGACGGGCACGCGGCTCGGATCGACGCCAGCGTGCGGCCTTGGTTCGCGGCCGTGCTCGTGCGCTGGGCCGAGGCGCGGCCCGGCGAGCCGGTGGAGCGTGTCACGCAGCAGCTGCGCGACCTGTCCAACGCCGACGGCAACGCCGAGAAACAAGTGGACACGGGCGTCACCAAGCGCACCACGACGCTGAAAGGCCGGACGCCGCCCAACACCATGATCGGCCGCTTCAGCAGCGCGTCCGGGCTGCAGTGCCTGCTGGTGGCGCGTCTCAGTCAGCTGGCCGAGCTGCGTGCGCAGACGCAGGAGGCGGTGGCAGCGCTGGCGGCGCTCGAGCCCACCTGCCTGGTGGAGGCAGCCATCGATTGCCACCTGCGACCGAGCGGCGGCGCCGCCGACCACTGCCGGCTCTGCGCCGCGCACGATAACTTCCCGCTGTACGAGCGCGAGCTGTTCTACATGGTGCAGGGCCGCGTCGACGGCGGCGAGCTGAGCGGCGTTGAGGGCAAGATCAGCGTGCTGGGCGAGCTGCAGCGCGGCAACTGGGGCGACAACGAGACCGAGCGCGTGCTCAAGACGCTGCTGGCCACGGCGCGCCAGCTGGGCATGGGCCAGGAGGTGCTCCAGCTTGGCACGCACCACATCAAGATGCTGGAAGCCATGAAGAAGGAGTTCAAGAGCCTGCGCGTGCTGTGGATGCGGCTGAACGACCGCGTGTCGGCGTCGGACGAGCTGGAGATGTGCGTCCTGCGGCTGCGCGCGCGGTTCGCCGACGAGCCGGCACCAGACCTGCCGGTCAGCCGGGGCGGCCAGCAGCTGCCCACCTACGTCATCGAGCGACACGAGGTGGAGGCGCACATGGGCCGGCTGAGGGCCGAGCGCGCCGTGGCCGAGAGTGAACTGCGCCGCAAGCTCGGCCAGTGCCTCTACCTGCAGAACCTGCAGCGCTCCGGCACCGACTTCCGCGACGGCAACCCGGACTCGTGCCCCATCTGCGAGAACACGCTGGGCGACCGGTGGAGCGTGCTGCAGTGTGGCCACTGCTTCTGCATGACGTGCGTGCAGCGGCTGGTGGAGGAGTTCTCGCTGGGTGGGCGGCGCGGCCGCCTCAAGTGCGCCATCTGCCGCGAGCTGACGCGCCACGCCGACATCGCGTACGTGAACGCCGACCGGGCGGCGCCGGCCGGCGACCCGGTGCAGGTGTCCGGCAGCCACAGTACCAAGGTGGAGGCGGTGGTGCGCTGCGTGCTCACCGTGCTGCGCGACGAGCCGGCCGCTAAGCTGCTGGTGTTCGCCACCTGGACGGACGCACTCGACCTGATCGCGGCCGCGCTCGACCAGAACGGCGTGCAGCACCGCAGCCTGCACGCGCCCAACCGGTTCCAGCGCAGCCTACGCGAGTTCCGCGGCCGCGACGACGTGTCCGTGCTGCTGCTGCCCGTGCACTCGGGCGCCAACGGGCTGAACCTGACGGAGGCGACGCACGTGATCCTGACGCACCCGGTGCTGGACCCGGGCGCCGAGCGTCAGGCGGTGGGCCGCGTGCACCGGATTGGCCAGCGGCGCGCCACTGTCGTGCACCGGCTGGTGGTGCGCGACACGATTGAGGAACGCGTGCTGGCGCTGAACGCCGGCCGGCCGGCCGCGCACGCCGCCGGCCAGGCCGAGCGCGGTCTGACGCTGGCCGACCTGCGCGAGCTCTTCAGGGATTAGTCGGGGGAGAGGGGCGTGCGCTGTGTGTGTGCTGTGTCCACTGTGTGGATGTGATGGAGTGGTGACGCTCACTGTGTCGGGGAGGGGATGGAAAGGCGTCCGTCGGGGGCCCGTTTTCCCTTTTCAGTGCTGTCTGGAGGCACTGTAGAGACAGCTGTGACCTGTGTGTTCTCTGCACTGGCAGAATGACGGGGCTGTGGAGGGGACCCGTCTCCAAAGTGACATCGAGGACACACGGTTTGGTGGTGGAGCTGGACCAAAGGTTCGCCCTGTGGCTGCAGGGACAGCGGCACCTCTGCCCTGCAGGGACGCCGCGTCCGAGTGCGCTCTGTGGCTGACGTGTGGCCGTGAGCAGGCCGGTGGCGCGCGCGCCGGAACCCGTGTCGGGCAGCTGTGATGGAGGTCTCGAGGACTCCCGCAGTTGTACACGGCCGGCCCAGCCAGACCCGCCCGCGCCGGGACCTGTGTCGGGCAGATGTGATGGAGGTCTCGACGACTCCCGCAGCTGTACACGGCCGGCCCAGCCAGGTCCGTCCGCGCCGGGACCTGTGTCGGGTGGCTGTGATGGAGGTCTCGAGGACTCCCGCAGCCGCACACGGCCGGCCCAGCCAGGTCCGTCCGCGCTGTTGCCTGGAGGCAGGGTCGTTTGAAAATCCGCCGGAGGGGCGATGCCGCCGTGTTTGGGAGGCTCAAGTGTGGATATGCCAGTTAGTTAGCTAGTCCGTAACTATGTGCCGGGAGATGTACCCAGTATGTTATTTACATTGACGGTTGTACGTATGCCTCTGGGAGGATACAACTTATTTCTGCAGAGCGGAATGCGGAATACTGATGTGTTACGCCAACAAAGTGTCAACAATTGATGTGTATTTATACTCATCACACGGACGTTGAGTGCTTCACTGGATCTGCATGCTGTCTTGTGGTACCTGATTTCAGTATGACTCACGAGTCGTGCCAGTTGTTTATTTTCTTTTGCATGTTCAATAAGCTCATTGTTCATAAATGCCAGCGTTTTCTTGCGAATGTCATATCCTTTACAGTGTCATACGAGGCGCTTCATGAAATACACTGCCCGTCACATGTCCGCCACAGCTTTTCTACCAGGGCCGTACATCACAATCGGCTGGCCTTTCGCGCGCGATCAGATTTGCGACTCCTTGCGGAGGGCTTTCAAAGCACAACGAATCGGGGCATAGTGCCTGGTGTGAGGGAAATGGGGCTGGCTCTCACGACCTGGTTGTGGGATTTAGAGCGGCCCAGGCGTGATTAATGTGCTGAGCTAGGGAACCGCGGTGTGCCCGCGATCGTTCAACAGACGTTTTAGCCGGGGCGGGGATGTCGCTGGGGTTCCGGTCGCTAGACTTTGGTTGGGGCGAATCGGACGCTGTTCGCAATTAACGATTTTGATAAATTAATCAGCTAATTGCCATGTCGGTTGATTGAGTCATTCCATTCTGACCACGCATGCTGACCGTGTCTCTTGGCGTTCTCACCACCAGATTGGATCATTGATGTGGTGGTTTCTCCTTTCACGCTTTTCACAGGGGCACAAGTTATGGTGTGCACGCGGTTGTATGGGGTCATAACCTCTCAGCCCCCACCCTGCCCGCCCTTCTTTCGGGCTTATTGCTATGAGACGGCTTCATTCACCCACCGATCATCTGTGCCGGGAGTCGGGCAGTACTGCTTGTGAGCACTGCGGTGACAAATTCATGATGATCAATGATCTTTGTATTGATCGAAGGTTTTGCAAGGCGTTTGGGTCAGGGTTCTTGCAAAGTTTGGCTTGCTGCGAAGACGCTGATCTCATCGTTTCGATGGAACGATCCCAAGATAACGGACAATTTTTGTCAGCGAAGTCGATGTTCCGTGTAGTATCACAACATGGTCGCCTTGTGTAAGCCTAGCCCTAGCACGGCAACATGGCCGCCCTTTGCAATCCTAGCCCTCGCACAACAACATGGCCGCCCTGTGCAAGCCTAGCCCTCGCACGACAAGTTGTCATTTGGGCCTGTGATGAGCCCATCAACCAACCGTGCTTTCTGACAAGAGAGCCCCGATACTGCGTCCACCTTGGGAGGGGCAGGTGTCCGGCGCTGTTTCAATAAGGGTCTGACCCACATGCTTGCACCGCCACAAGCCGTGGTTGGCTGATCGACTGTTATCTCTCGGGGAGTCCTATCGCGAACGTTTCCGTAATGCATGCCCACATCACTTCCCAATTCTCAGAACAGGCCTGCACTTGTCTGGCTTTTATTTCAGCAAGGCCTGTGACGGCTACCATTTCGATACCGATAGCGACGCTGCGCCTATGCTGCGTTCGGTTCAGTCGCCCGTCTTTTCGAGACACGTGACCACAGACACACTACGTTGCAGGATCTGTGGATGCAGGTGCTGTGCAAATGCGAATCAGGCACTCAGCAAGGCCGTTGCTAATGGGGACGTAGGACTCGCAAGGGTGTCCGGGGGCAGCGTTGACCTTCCTGCTGCAAGTGCTTGGGCCCCAAATGACCGGTGTGCCCCTCTCGGGTATCGGTTTGGCCTTGCCAGATCACCGGCTGACCCTCAGGCGCTGAATGCTGTCGGCGCTCCTGGCACAGAGCACGGCTGCCGGCAGCACGAAAAGCGCCAAGCCACGACTCTACGAAGGCGGACAGGACATGAAGGCAGAAAAATCACGAGTTCGCTAACGAGAGGTCACATTTGGCCCCGCGCTACACAATCTTAGCAGCACAGACGAGCGACGATAGTCTGCAATCAGTCAGCAGCCGCACGCACCAATTGACATCGAGCGGCGCGCCAGAACCAGCACGACCTCATCACGAGACCAGCGAGGAGTCGACCTAACCCGCCTGACGCGCGGCCGCCCGGCGCCGCCCCGCCGCCGCCGCTCAGTGTGTCTTGTCGTAAGAGTCCTTCTCCTTGTAGCCTTGGACGTAGCCGTCGTTGCCGTGAATGTCCTCGCGTCCGGCGATGCCGCGGCCCTTGCCCGTCTCGTCGAAGCGCTCCTTGTGCTGGCCGGTGTAGCGGCTGGTGTCGGTCAGGCGGCCCACCGCTCCGGTAGTGACCGCCTTCTGCAGCACGCGGCACCGGAGGCGGCGGTGAACCCCGGGCCCGGCACACGAGACGCGACGAAGCGGAGCTGTTCGCCGCGTGCGCTGCTCGTGCTGCAGTTAAGGCGTGTAAATATTTACACCTGGCTGTGAGGGGAGCGCCCCAGCCAATACACGATCGTTTATCGCTGCCGGGAATCAATGAGGTGGCTGACAGACTCTGCAAGTCAGAGGTGGCCCCTGAATTGACCAGAATCGATCACCATGGCGACATATGTACACAGCAGCAATGTCTGTGGCGCACGCGCAAGCAAATGACATTGTCGAATATCACTAACGCGAGATAATAACGCTGCACCATTTTGCAGAGCATGCACATGATCATTGTGATCCCTGCTGGAGGCCACGAAAGCTAAAATTATCTCCCAGGTCAGCGCACTGGACATGACATGAGAACAAAGAGGCTTGGAAATGTGCGATATACAGGAGATTGTCACAAACCGTGGCTCCCTTTGTTCCTGGATCACCGCAGTCGGTCAGTTTGGTCTGTATTTCGTCCAGGTCCACCTTCTTGGTCGCTGCTAGGTCAGCCAGAAATGTCTTGAAGTCTTTCAAGCCGACCTTCTTCTGCCTGCGGACAGGTCATGTCACACGTCAGGTTGTGGGACGTACACTTCATTTACCATTTATTGCGCGGTTACCTGCGAGTTTAGCTCAGCGCATTTAGTATGAACCCCAATCAGCTGCAAACGGTCCAGCCATGTGAACCTGGTGCAAATTAAAAGTTCGCTTGTTTCACTCACTTGCAGTGGCCGTGTTGAGTGTGTGCGCTAACCCGCATATGATTCGCTGCGGTACTTTGTCGTCACTCTCGTGTAAACGTTCAGGCCAAGCGTCCCGTTATCGCCCCCCCCCCCCCCCCATTTCCGGCCTGCTGAGCGGACCCCGCCCCCACGCGGTGCGGCCTACCCCACGGCGTGCAACAGGCGCCGCATGCGTGTTTGACGTCCCCTCCCCAGCCCTCGGTGCCGTGCCGTCTGCGTCTGCCGGCTCGGTTCACTACGCTGGCCGGCGGCGGCCGGAGACGGTGTTGTGCTCGCGGCCGCCGTGTTACAGCCGGTCGATCGCTGCCGTGTCGCGCTCCAGCTCCTCACGCGCCGGCCAAGCTGTTTGTCCAGCCTTGGGTCGATGGGGGGCCCGCAGCCACGCTAGCAGCTGTCCGAGACCGGCCCCGCCGCGGCCGCAAAGTAACGGCACGGGCGCACCGGCGCACTCAGGACGGCGAGAGCAGACACGCCGCGTCGTATCTGGTCGGCATCATGCTGCAGACCTCCAATCGAAGTGCAGACCACGAAATTACGAGGAATTTGTACGTACGGAAGGGATTCTTGAGCCGAATGTTGCAAACTTCCCTCAGCGCTGCGGTTCTCTGCAGCACTCGTTCGTTCGCTGGAGGGCGGTTTCACTCATTGCAGTGCAGTTGGTTTATTTAGCCGATTGTCGTGCTGACATTTTGCTGAGTCAGTTAATAAACGCGTGCAAAATGCTCGTAGCTAGAGCCAAGGCTAACTGCTGACAGATCATCGGCCACACGGAACACATTGGGCTCGCATGCAGATCGTTCTGTCAGTAGCGTCGGATGTGAGCTATTTAGCGAGATGCAAAATTCAGCAAGATGGGCACAATTCGAGCCTTTTATAATTAAAGGAGATTACCTTACATTGAGGTGATGCCAGGCCAGAAAATAATCATGACAGGGATCGCACGTTTTCCATAATAACCGCAGCTGGTTCCAGGGCGGGTAGATCAAAGTAATAGACGTATTATTGTAAGAACATTTTTTCTGGAGATGGATTCATCCGCACGATATTACGTTTCAAAACATGCGGTGACGCCACTACGTCCTTCCCACTGAATCAGCTGACACTAGGCTCTCTGTTTCCTGAGATGCCAACATAAAAAGCCCATTGGTAGCAATGACCGTGTGAAACAAGTAGTTTCGCGTATTACTAAGATATGCTGTCGTAACATTATTCAGACAGGTGCGTAGAATAGGGAATTTAATCTTAAATTGGTAATACAGTCAAGTGCTTCGTAGCGCAGTATTAGGCAGTGCCCTTGATGACGTACTCATCTTATTCTAGAAGTATTGAGATCTACGTTCTGGCGTCAATAAATACAGACAGTGGACTTCATGAGTGGGAGCGTAGCTTCCGTCGTGATGTGGGCTATTTGCAGCAGAAATAAAGAGATAAGAGCGCATTTCATTTCAGGAATGAAACCCGTACAAGCCATTCAATTGTTTAACGTGTTAATCTCATTTGCACATCGACAAATGATCACACATAATTACATGCTACATTATGCATGCGCTGTGTCGACATGAAACGTCCACGCAAAACCATGCAAGTTCGGCGGCTCCCGGACAAAACCTGTGTCATTGACTCGTGCTCTGCCTTACTTGAGCTTCCCAAAGTGGATGCCAGTGTCCGTGGTGGTGAGGCTCTTGGTGAACACGCCCGCCTGCTTGAACCACTTGTCGATGTTGGAGAGCGTGATCTGCGTCACCGGCGACGCCGACGCCTGACTGTGGGTGATGCCGAAGCCGCAGAACTTCTTGAACTGCGACTCCAGCGTGGGCGCGGTCATGATGGATCGCAGGGTAGCCGCCGCTCACGTGCCCAGATCCAACAGCCGATGTTCCAGTCCAACGTCAGCCCGCACTCAGCAGACCCACTGCGTGGCTGGTGCGCCCTCCACACCCGGTCTGCGAGACACGCTCCGCAGTGTCGCCCACCCCCGCTGCTGCCGACAGACCGACTACGCGATAAGGGCGTCGACAGGCTGCGCCAGCGGGCGGGGCGGGGGCGTGGGCGGGCGCTGCGCCTGCGCCCCCTCCCCCACTCCAGCTCGCCAGCCAACCCTGACGCGTTCCACGCCGCTGCAGCCGGGGCCTTCGTCACGAACAGGAGCCCGGTGACTTCACGGCAGGGTCGGGTTCGGGGCTCCACACAGTGTCCCTATCGTGACGCCGCACTGGGCTCCGCGACGACATGGCAGGGTCGGGTTCGGGGCTCCTCAGTGTTCCTAACGTGACGCCGCACTGGGCTCCACGGCGGCAGCGGCAATAACCAACCCATGTGTCAGCAGAGCATCATTAAAGGTGTCCGAAGGGAGACGGAGGTGGGGTTTTGACATGTTTGCCCTTGGGAACCGCGAATCGACCAAGGATGTTGATCGGCATTCAGCCCGCGTCCAGTCGATTCGACGCGGTCGATTCGTAACGCCGCACCCATGTCTGCCTCACACCCCGCGGCTCACGTCATGCAGTCATCGGTCATTGCTAGCTGCAGGATTCAGACAATTTGTGTGCTATGCTAATTGGTGTTATGATGGGCAGTTAAAGAAGATGCCGGTATAGATGCCGGTAACAAGCCATATTTTTCTATCGACGTGAGGCAACTGATAACGTCTGCTACAATGCCGCTGATACCAGGGAGCTTGATGCAGTTTACAGAGACCGCCATAAATTATGCCAATAGTAGGTGCATTTTCGCGGCATGATTGGACCTCAATCAGAAAAGCGCAGGGAGGGATCGATACATAGACGCGATTGAACTTGAGACTTCAATTCTTCTACAGCGGAGCTTTGTGCCTTTTGGAAGCGGCATTGCCTCCTCACCTCCTCCCCCTAAGTTTGCATCAGTTCTCTAAATACACCACTCAGATCACTAACACGACCGCAAGACCGCTAAACGGCAGCAACAAACTGTCCCTTGATAGAAATCAGGTCTTTTCAGTACACAATGAATGCCGTGAAATTCCGCCTGAATGGTTGGTACATCTTCGGCAAAGCGCCTCATATGCACCACTGATACCAGGCAGGTTGGCTGCAATAAATACGTCATGGGAACATTGGACGACTAGCCATCAACGGGGCGCTGCTTCATTGCCGGGCATCGCTGCTCGTACGCCAAATGTCACACACAACGCGCCTGGCAGCACCTGCAGCTCATACGACAGTACGTATCGTGTCGTATGGTCGTCAGGCATGGCGGGCTCATGTGAATGGGCGCTTGTGAAATGAACGACGTCCAAGCCCTTTACGTGAGTCTAAACTGGGGGTACGGACACCAGGGCACGAATTTTCTTTATCGCCTGACGAGAACACATGTTTGTGACTGGAATCTTCTGACAACATTTTGACCCGATGTACCCCTTGTGTATCCGTGGCGTCAAGAAACAATATTAAGCAATAAAAAAGATTCGTGGTGACAATGGAAATGGAATCAGAAATGGCGACAGTTTTAGAAGATGTTGCCCCGCTACTAACCTTGCAAAAATGAACACAAGTAGACAGTGAGCTATTGCAAACAACAACAGGATAGATACATGATAAACGTTTCCTTACAACTTCGGGAGATAAGCATTTTTGGGAGACCAATGTAACCAGGTACAAGCAGCAGCTGAAGCTGGCTACATCGCTGACAAGAGCACGCCTTGCTTGGCGCTTAATCCCCGGTCCTGCCCGCGGCTGCTACGAACCCATTTTTCTGCTTTCCGCTCGTTGGACATAAGTTTGCAGGCTGCAATAAAGCATCCGAAGGTTCACTTGCACAGGCTTCTCGCATTTTAACACTCGCAAAAAGCGTGCATACTGGCCACAGCTATTCTCTGCATGTCGTGTGCAGGTGCGCCCATAGCACCACAGTTTTCCGCAGCATGTGTGTAAGCTGTCTATCATTTTGTGGCTTTGACAACCTATTCATCTTCACCATAACGACAGACTTCGAAAAGTTAGGGAGAACGCTACGGCTGCAAGTGATAACTTGTAGCACATTCCAAAGCCGAAGACCATATCGTCTCATGTCTGTGTGCGCTGTAATATAGCTTGAATTTTTAGCGTTATTAAAACAGTATATCATTTGGCGCCGCTGCAGGGTTCGGCACCAGTGAAGGCTTCCGAGCAAAGCTCATTTTGCGGCAGATGCAACTGCTATTTGATAAGCTGCTAAGCGGCGACAGGTAATACGCATGCTTTGAACTGTTTTCGCAGCGTTCCGCTTTGATAAGAAGCCTGAAGTGTACTACAGAAGCCCCGATCTCTCCGTTACTGTAGAGCTGAGACAAATCAAGCCGTATTGGCACAACTAAAACCCGTCAGAACGCCTAGGTTCGAGGTTATAGCGGTCAATGACTCGACACTGATGCACGGGTGTCTGTAGACGATCAAATATCGCAGCAAGGCGCGGCGCCGGCGGCGACGGAGTGCCACCTCAGACAGTCCGTTCTCAGCTGACCACTGGCAGACGGCAGGGCGTGACGTCCCTTGACCAAGCGGTGAAGGGGTCAACTGACTCCGACGTAACCACGATTTATTTGTGGATGTGACATTTATTATTTCTAAATTGAGCTTGATGCTGGATTGGCATGCCAATTACATAAAAGGGGCAAAAAACAAAAGCTGTGATTTGTTCTGTAAAAATAGCAAATGCTCTTCTATGCTGTGAAGGGTTATATTTGCCGAGCCCAAAAACTTAAACTGCGCTACACTGATACTGCATGATTATTCTTGCAGTGGGACATAGTGGTCACACAATATTCTAATATTTTAGTTCACTAGAGATTTCGCCAAGCAATGAAAGGTAAGTTTGAAGATTTCAGTAAATTTCCAAGGTTTCCAACTTTAACAATGCTCAGCGATCTGTCACTGTCCATCCAATCTTCAAACTAAATGCAAAGCTACTCTTTCTGTGCGTCTGGTGCTGATAGTGTGAGGGTCACGGCCATTAACCTTCATCCAGGCAAGCGTTCACACAAACTGCAGAACAGCCAGGCTGTATTGACACTCAAGCACATCATCACAATACCGGAACGTCGCAAAAGAGCTGGCTAACATTTTGTACATGATACGCCGACACAGTGCCCTCACAGCCCGTTCGCGGCCCACCATTGGCCACAGAGTGACGCCAGACACCGGCTCGCAGCGGCGGATACCGGGCGTCGCTGGCGGCGTGACGTCACCGCCGCGGAACGGCTGATGTCACCCCCGAGCCGCGCCAGCCCGCACGAGTGCCGTGACATCCCCCGGCCGGCGGCGGTGACGTCAGACGTCGGCCAGCAGGTCGTGCAGGCCGGGCTGGCCGGGCGGTGAGTCCAGGCGGCGCACCTCCGGCGTGGCGGCCGTAGACACGGCCTCCACGTCCACCTGCGCGCCGGCGCTCGGTCAGCGCCGCGGGCGGGAGGACACGTCCGCGACGGGCGGCGGAAACCGCACCCACGGGAGACGCGGCACAGCGCCAGAGATCACAGCAGTGGATCATTCATTCAGAGTTTGGCGAACAGCACGTCACAACAAACGAGAGCACGGCTCCGTCGCGACGTTAGATGCCCGGCCCAGCAAAACTCGCGCTGTGCACAGCTAAACCCAGAATGAGGCGGGGACAAAGAAAGGTTTTGCTGGCGTTTTAGTGCGGCGATTGCATAAACCGAATACGAGACCACAAGCGAACAGCTAAATGCAGGGATACTACGCGTCTCGTAAACTTCCACAGCTTCAGACCAAATGGCAGGTTCCATTCATCACCTTAGGATCATAACCGTTTCGTTTCGTGTGGCACTGAAGCCACCAATGGGACATAGGCAGGAGAGAGGGGTGGGGAAGGGAGGGGAGGGGTCTCGCCGGCCGGCACACTCACCTCCTCGTGCGAGCTGGGGTTGTCGGGACTGCCGGTGACCGGGCCCAGGCCGAGCGCCTTGCGCACGGCAGCTGTCGGCGCCAGCTCGCCCGGGGCCGTCTGGCGCGCCATCGCTGTCAGGCGACCCACTACCGCGTCCGCTGCCAGCGACCCGGACACGAGCGGCGTCAGCCGACGGGTGGCGGCCCGCGGCGCACGGCCGGAACAGCTCGGTCACCGGCCCCTCGCTCTTGGCAGACTCAACACAAAGCGTTTCACAAGTCTTCTTAATACCATATGACAGAGGTCACCGCAGCGTAATTGTCGCACACGCGCGGCTTTCCCATTTATTCCATTTTTCCCCTCATCCCGAATTCATACGTTGTATGTATATACACGCACATCTGCGTTGCCCTCCCTCCACAGCTAAGCATTTTCTCGCCATCTCCATCCCCTCCCATCTCTATGCCGGCCCTGTCCCCTGCTGGGAAGGCGCCGCCGGTCCCGACTGACCCAGCTCTGTCCCTTGCTTGGAAAGCGCCGCCGGTCCCGTCTCCCCGACTGACCCAGCTCGGTCTCCTGCTGCGAGGGCGCCGCCGGTGCCGTGTCGGGCGGCTGACTGAGGCGGCGCCGCTGTATTTCGCTCAGCGAGGCGATCAGCTCGGACGTCTGGTCCAGCCGGCCCGGCGCCTCCTGGCCACGTCGCTCCTCACTCTCTGGGGCACACGCAAGAGCCAACGGTCAGACCCGGCACCAGCGAGACTCGCGTGCATGTAGCGAGCCGTGCTGAGGCCGAACGCCGAGGAGAGACAAGTGGACTTTACGCGTCAGCTCTAACGAACCTGCTGCCATAGAGTGGAAATGTAGGAAGGCCACCACGCGAAAGCTTGTAATGTGAGATTAATACGAAGACGACGCTCGACACTCGAAACTGCATCCTCACCAATTGCATCCAGAAAGCTGACGTCGATGCCGAGGGAGGACAGCGACTTGAGCGCCGCGAAGTCCACCTGTTGGCCGGTGGGCGCAGCCGGGGCTGCCACGGCGGCCGCCAGGGCGGCGCTGACCAGGCGCTCCTCCATGGCCAGCTGGCGGTGCTGTTCGAGCACCTGCTGCGCAGGTCGATGCCGTCCGTCCGTCAGGATGTCCAGCAGGTTGTCCACCATCTCGGTGGCCATGTAGCACCCATCCGCGAACTGGCGCACACTGAAGGCGGAGGCAGGCGCCATCAGTCCAGCAGATGAATGCGGACGGCTATGCAGGCCGGCAGACTGAACAGTGGCAGTAAGACACCAACCCTCTGTTTCACACTGTCCTGTATCCCTGCAGCGCCTCGCTTCCCCGCGGGCGTGCTGCAGATGTCCTGTATCCCTGCAGCGCCTCGCTTCCCCGCGGTGCGTGCTGCAGACGTCTTGTATCCCTGCAGCGCCTCGCTTCCCCGCGGGCGTGCTGCAGGCGTCCTGTATCCCTGCAGCGCCTCGCTTCCCCGCGGGCGTGCTGCGACCGTCAGCCATCAGGCGGCGTCGCGGGCGAACCGACCGAGAATCCCTCTGAGCACGCGTGCCAACGGCGGGGTAGGGTCGTGCCGGGGCGGGGTACGCGCCGGCGTCGCATACTGTTACAAACAGAACCTCCACAGCAACGCTACACATGCCAACGAGCTTTTAGAATGAAACGCTGCGCGCCAACCAAAACAAAATCAAAGGCAATAAAAAGATGGCTGGCGAACCGGCCAGCTTCAACAATGTCATCAGTTGGCTGGGTACATCACTCGACAGCAGGATCGCGACAGCGCAGAACTGCACGAACCGAGAGCGCAAACTCGGGGACGGACCAGGGAGCCAGTCTGAAAGCCCGTCTCCAGTGCACTTAACACAGGACGTGCGACGCATTTGAATTGGTCCTTAGAAAGAGATTTCCAGGTAGATCGGAAGGGATAATGATAACCATATTTCCACAGAATTCAGTCTGTGATCAAAGGGGTCACACATCTTGTGTTACATCATCCAGCTTTTGCAACTGCTCAGTTCACTTAGCGACATCCTAGGCTGTCAGGTACCCCCTCCCCCCCCCCTAGGTAACCAGGAGAGGTGTCCACCACCGCGGTCGTCCCAGGCCGGTTGTTCTCCAGCCTGCCACACGGCACCTTACCTCTGGGCGCGCTGCTCGCAGGTCTCGTCAACGTGCAGCATCTCACCTTTGGGCGTACTGCTGGCACGTCTCGTCGCCGTACGTCTGAGCCAGCAGCTCGGACTCTTCCACGCTGATGTTGGCGAAGGCGGAGTCGTAGCAGGGCCCGTACGAGCCGTACGGCCCGTGGTGCACAGGCTTCACTGCAACAGGATAGAGGAGGCGCGTCAGCAGCACGCCGGGTCCCAGGGCGGCCATGAACCACTCCCGATGGTGGTGGCAAGAGGCGCCATCGTCCAGCCCTTCTCCACAACCCGATCAACAAGGCCTATGCGTACCGGTGCAATACACATGTATGTGCCGAAACAGCTGACGTGCCTCCATTCTCGCCGGCCCGCTCGTCTGTCCACGTACCGGGTTTGGTGATGTTGCGTTTGTCCTCCCTGAATCCGGCCGGGTGGGCCGTGCCCTGCGAGAGCCGGCCCGTCAGCACGCCCAGAGACACGGGCTTCTCCTCGCCGCTCTCCCCCTCCGCCGGGGTCAGGATCGACAGCGACGTGCTGCCATCTGGCCGCTGACGCAGGAACCCCAGCTGCCGACAACGGCCACGGTAATGAGCGCGAAGTGCAAGCTGTGGCAATATGCAATGACGGCGAGTCATAGCTCGATTGGTCGCCGGAAAACTGGTGAGTGCCTAACCAACCAATCACCTAAAAACATTTCCACTAAGGTGGGAGCAGCATGCTGCACATATGTCACGTGATAACCTGTTCAATCTGAGGGAGGCTGGACCAATGGTTAACACGGATGAGATAGTTGCTAAAACGCCGCGCTACAATACAAGGGCATGCGGCGGTCCAGCGGCGCCGCCATGTCCAGAGATACGACGAGGCACCTCTGTATCTCGCGCTGATACACAGCATCAACCAGGCGACACGCACAGCTGCCGACCAGTGATAGCGTTCACAGATCACGGGTGCTAACCAGTTCAGCATCAGAATAATGCGAACTGACAGTACAGCAGTACACCACCACAGACAGGCTGATCAGCCGCAGGTCACAGCCGCGAATGCCGGACGAAGATGACGCATGGCACGCGTACGCCGACAGACGGGGGGGGGGGGGGGGGGGGGGGGTGTAGTGGAGACGCCCACCTTGGGTACCGTTGTCCGGGCGGCCAGCCTCTCGGCCGCACGCCGAGCGGCCGCCTGCGCCTGCTGCAAGATCTCCTCCGCCTCCGCCTCCTCATCCACCGGCTCCGGCACGCTGGCCAATCGCAACGGCGCTCACGTCACCGACGGCCAATCATCGCTAACCCTCATTGAAACAGCCATATCCGCCGGCCAATCATGGCGGCGCGCACTTCACCGACAGCCCATATCATGCCACGTAACTCACACGATAAAGCGCTCTATGCAATGTTAAAAACAATCACGTTAACAACCAATCACACTGTAACACGAATCACATCAAGAACTACACACAGGCGTGGCATTACGGCAGGCCGATCATATCCGTGACAGCTGCGACAGCTACAAGGCAGCATGCCACCCATCATCACCGAGAAGTTCTCAACCTCTGTGGTCCTCGAACCTCATCGGTCCACGACAGAGCGCAGTCACAATTCTTTTCAAAGTCAAAGCCGAAAGAAATGAAGCAGAACGCTTCTTCAGTGCAGCTCTTGGGCTCGCGAATCAGAGGCACATTGAGCGGTGTGGTCTACATGTCAATGCTCTCCCACTATGCCGTAGAGCAGGCGTGACGAGGTCCCAAGGTATGTTATGCGTCGCAGAACACGGGATGGCCAGCAATTCCGAGATACCGGATCCGAGCCTTAACCGAGGAAAGATCAAACCATCTAACCCGGCTGCTGATAGAAGCGGGAGTGTCATTTACAATTTGCTTATGCCGTCTGTTTATATGTGTTACCTTTCTTATGCATTTATTACTCGTTCACAGCTAATTCACAACAATTTATCCACATGCAAAATTCGCGAAACTGCGAAAACGTTCCATTTCGTGGCGGACGGCACAATCGCGCCATGTCGATAGCCCATCGTGCTTTTAGGCGCGCCGCCAGTCGGGGTCGCTTCGCGCAGAGTTCAGCAGCAGATAGAACAAATAGCAGGGTAGTACCCCTCCCTCACCTCCGAGCATCCACACATCACATAAGTGATGTGAATGACATGCCGAGTCCAGGCAAGAATGTGCTCTGGTGATTCCTCCGCGCATATTCGAATTCCTTGGTTCGTGAAGCCTGCGTCAAAATGGCTCTTTCTCCGCCCCTGGCCACGCTCGGCGCGGCTGCTGCGACATCGCCGCGGACCACAGTCCAGGTGTGACAGTGACCTGATCTCAAACTGTGCCCTGAGCATCACGGTGGTGCAGTGCAGGTCATCACATCGGAGGCTCCTACCTTTTGCAGGCGCCGAGCGCTGCGCCGCCAGCTAGCTTTTCTAATCTAACGTACGGCCGTTTGAATATGAACCCGCTGCAATGGACAAACAAGCACCAATCACCGGAGCGTTCCACACGGCCTGGGCGAGACAGTCAGCTGGGGGGTCGTCCCGGAGGCGCCAGCTGACGGGCGGCAGCGGCGAGCGCTGGTGGGAGGCCGGCTGCCGGCTGCAGCGCCGCCAGCGTCCGGGGTCTCACACAATCAGGCGGCCAACTGGCTCGCCCAGCCGGCTCCGACGGGCGGGCGCCACCAACAGGGCCATCGTTTCAACAGCTGCACATGCCACTGTTACACCGCCGCACCGCCCCAGCCACCGACCAGCCGTGTTTGGGGCAGGTCCATCACACAAAAGCTACCAATGAAAGCAATACTGTGTCAGTGACGACCCTCAGGATGCAAGCCAGGCACGACCGAGCCCAAACTACGCCTACAAGCACCGACAAAAGCGAACGGGCCGGCGCTATCGTCAGCTCAGCAAGCTGGGGGCGCACAATATATGTACACATGGGATTCGCGGCCCATCATACATCGGACATGCGATACTCATCCACAACCTTTCCACAGTTAGGAGTGCTCAGAGCTGCTGACTTGTATCCCCAGTGTATTGGTTATTGTATGCAGCATAGAACCGAGCCAGGTTTAAAACCAGTTAAATGTGTATGTAGTGTAAATAATGCAGCCTGGATTCTATTCGTGATAGCTAGCAATACACTCGGGCTTTAGTGACCTTTGCAGACCTCTTCTGCACGTAACACCCACAATGAAGCGCCGAAATGTAGGTGTCTCGGCCCGACCGCTCCGCACCCAGAACAGCGAGTCTCGGAGGTGACTCCGTCCTTAATGAGTGGCAGATGACCGCCACAGTGATAGCCAGCAGCGTCCTTGAACGAAAATGGCTTGACACAGCATTGACGTGTGACCTATCTGTCATGGTTCACGTGTAAACCACTCGTCTCTCTCTGGACCGTGGCCTGGGCCGGGCCCCTCTCTCCTGACCTCTCTCCACCAAGGCCCTCGCCCCTGCGCCTCGTTAGTTCCCGGCATGTATCATCTATCTCCTGAGCCGTGACCTGAGCAGAGTCCTGAGCCACTGTCAGGGCGTGACCTGACCTCAGCTGTGCCCCGGGCGCGTGCTGACCTGAGTCGCTCGGCGACCGGCTCGGCGGCCTCGGCCGGCGGCGGGCCGCGGCGGCGCCGGCTCCACCTGGAAACCGAGCACGTCTGCGCCCAAGTCGATCATGGCCGGCACCACCGACCGCAGCTGGCCAGCTTGTCTGGGCTCATCATCTGACGGCAGACGCGTCATCTCATCATCATGCTCACACCAATATGACTGGTCATTACATCTGGACTGGCTGTGTGAGGAGGAAGAGCAGAAGGCCTGCGATCGCCGAGGTGGACGCGGGATACATCGCAGCGGGCCCGGCCACCCAGGGCAATCCATCGACACTGCAGACCCCGCGCCACACGCTCGTCTGTTCTCGCCCGTCGGGCTCGGGACAGCAGCGATAAACGGAAGCAAGGGGGGGGGGGGGGGAGGTCGACATACACGTCCCATACCGCTGGACTTGATTCTGAGCACGGAATCCCAAAACACGCTCACTTCATGTGTGATGCAGGGGCCGGATGTCACGGAAACACACACACAATATACGAATGTCGGACCGCCAAGACAACTTGTTTGGTGACTGGTGACTTAAGGCTCTAGTCTATGCATGCCATCACAATGCGCGTGCACAATGCTGCCACGCTGGGACGTGGCAGCCAATACCGTCGGCGAATCAGAGCTGGCCCGGAGGGCCACACGTCTATTTCGATACGTCACCACAATCCATGCCACTTTTAGAGGACAAACATACAGACTCCATGTTTTTTAAAGACCAACGCCCCATGAGTCTCTGAAGGCCGATAGCCCGGCCAGCAGCCATCATGATTGTCACCCCTGTCCGGCGACGTGTGGTGAATCGGAGCCGCGTCCCACCTTGGAGCCGATGTGCAGCAGCCGCTTAGCCGCCTTGAAGTAGATGGTGTCGGCGCGGTTGTAGGCCATGGCGTTGGAGCACATCAGCCGGAAGTCCGCTCTGTCAGAGCGGTGAGAGGTGGCTCAACTCACAGCAACGAGACGTGCGGCATCCGATGACGCCGAGGAGGGAGTGGTGAGAGGCGGCTCAACTCACAACGAGACACACGGCATCCAATGCCGCCGAGAAGGGAGCGGTGAGAAGTGGCTTAACTCACAGCAAACGAGACGTGCGGCATCTGATGACGCCATGGAGGGAGGCGGGTGAGAGGCGGCTCAACCCACAGCAACGAGATGTGTGGCATCCGATGACGCCGAGGAGGGAGCGGTGAGAGGCGGCTTACCTCACAGCAACGAGATGTGTGACATACGATGACGCCGTGGAGCTTAGGTAAGCTGACTAGACACCCGCGCGTTAGAATGACAACACGAAGTCACTCAAACCAGATTCAACAAAGCCACACTCGCGAACAACAGGCTTGCCAATCACAATCACAAGCCAGTGCTATGGTGGGTGCAGGCGTCATCGCAGGACTATAACTTCGTTTGAATTCAATATTACGCATCAGAACAGCAAAGCTCCTCCACGCTCCAGACACCCAGAGCTCACTGTCGTATACTGAGCACGGCGATTTAAGGAAGGGTAGGGCTGAGTCACGGATCCGCACCGCCCCCACAGTGCCGTGGCCCGGGCCGCCGGCTCTGACCTGGAAGGCGGCCAGGCTGGGGTAGCGGTCGGCCTCGATCTTGGTGCGCATGGTACTGAAGTCCATCGGGTGGCGGATAACGTTGGAGTAGCCGGGCGCCAGCGCGTCGGTGACGGGCGCCGTGAAGAACCGCTGCGTGTCCTTCTTCTCCAGGCCCTTGAGCAGGTACTCGAGGAAGCGCTGCAGCGAGCTCTTGGCCGGCCGCTGCTCCCGCTCGGCAGCCTGCGGCCAGCCGGGCGCGGCAGCCGGCATCGGCGCCGGCGCCGGCGCCGGCGGCAGCGAGGCAGCGGGCACGAACACAGGGGGTGGCGTTGGTAGTGGGGACGGAGATGGAGGCGAGGACGGGAACGGGGTCGGAGACAGGGACGTGGGCAGGGACGGGGATGCGGACGGGGACGGGTGGCGGGGACGGGGACGGGGACGGGGACGGGGACTTCAGGCGTCGGCGTCGGTCCGTGCGGCTCGGGCCGGGTGGCGCCGTATCCTGCTCGGCGAGCGGCGGCACGGACGGCGGCTCCGGAGAGGAGGCGGTGCCCTGGCTGAGCGGCTCGGTGCCGGAGCTTAGCCGCGACGTCTCCTCCAGGCCGCATGCCCACACCGCCTCCAGGTGACGCCGCTCCTGGCCGACCGTCACACAGCCGTCACCATCACAACAGTCACCGTCTCTGATATCCAGCAGGGCATGCCACTGAGTGGCGTTTCTCCTGATGGACATTAGAAGCAATGAGCTTTCCCAGTGGCAGGAGCTTAACTCACATGTTTTGAACAATCTAACACCTTAGCCCACTTAGGCAAATAGGCCCACAGATGAAAATGTGAAGGACTGACCTTAAAACAAACAAACTCGGGCATACAAATGCCAGTCAAACGCACATGTACCTTCTTGTGTCTGTGACGTTCCCTGTCTCTGTCCTTGTCCTTCTTCTTTTTCTTCTTGTGTTTCTTCTCCTTCCGCTGTGTCTCAGCCTCATTGATGGCGGCCATGCTGAACCTGAGTGGGGCGACCGCCGGCGGCGGCGTCACCGAGCGGGGCTCATGGTCGGGAGTGAGTGCGACGCCCACCTTTAACACCAGCCGGAGGCCGGCTGGTCGGCTCACCGGCATTTCTGCAACCAGCCAACAGGCTTTGTCAGGCAGCTACTCTGGTGCTTATGTAGGATAACCAAATATGCAGACCTTTGTGGTTGACTGCCCATGCTTTTAAATGGTCATGAACAAGCACTGGTGCTGATCATCACCAACAAAGATGCAGTAGCTCAAGCACCATTCCTACACATAAATGTCCAACAAAACAGCTGGTGATTACATGATCACACCATGGAGCTGTAAGCATTGCCCCCAACAAGTGTCTGCTTCTGAAATAGATGAACCTTGGACCTTCATAGGTGAAGTGGAAGTCAAAAAAAACACACAGTAAAAGCAATGTAAACATCAACATTTATTTTGCATACATAACCTCTCTGATCTGGTTGCAATGGTAGTAGATGCATTTGGCCTTGGTCTGGTGCAGTGACGATGGCTTGTGGACCAAAAGTTTTGGGTGAAATATGAACTACCAAGAATCACCAATTTTAAGATCAATGCCTGCAAGTTCTACTTTCGTAGAAGCCTAAGGGTATGCCTTCTCACATTAGACATGTGAAGTGCAAAACTCACCACAGGAAACAAAAGAGCTGGCCACAAATTAAACAGGACTTTTACTAGCATACCATACATTCAGTGTTCAGTAATTAGGCACACTGTAACCTGGCCACTTTGGAATTTCATTTTCAAACAGCTGATCTGAGGTGATCACTCTTAGGGTGTCAAAACTCAAGCTTCTGCAGACATTTCAGAGCTCTCTTAAGTGGTTCAGTGAGCATGGAGGAAGTTAGAGGCTGGCAAAATGCATATAAGTGCCAAAAATTCTCCACACACAAAAAAATTATGTCATATGTATGATGAAGGGGGCAGACCTCTCTGAGCATTCATCATAAAAAATCAAATGAGCTGTTTTTTGCTGATGAATAAACAAAACAGGCCTACCAGGGCTTAAGGAGATCGTGTCCCCCTACCCTGGCTGGATCCCTGAACAGTATGGCTGCTGGCTACATTTTTCTATCCTCAGAATATGATAAGAGAATCAAATGGTGCCCAAAGCAATCTCATTTGAAGTGACCAGCACCCACTTTTTACTTATTGGGTCCTGTATTAACACAGCTCTTAACTGTCCCATTACTGCTTGCCAAGGTGACAGTCAACTGGGGAAAAAATGTTAGCACACATACTGGTGACACCTGCTTAGATCAGTATGGTAGTGATGCAAAGCTAGAGTATGCCCTGTAATGACTGGGGTGGGCATCACCAGTGCCATTCCCCAGCAATCACTGAAGGTCCAATTTGGGAAACATGGCCACCAATGCATTCCAGCTACCTGCATTCCTGAAGGCTATGAAGCCAGCCTAAATTTTGGAGAGTGTAGCATCCTGATGCATAGCCACCTTCCATATAGGAGAGTGACTGTGTGTAATACATATAAGCCCTCCATTCTGGGGGAGAATACTCAGAGGTTCCTGTATGACAGGCATGACAGTGTTGCAGTGTCACATATCACATTTAGGTCTTCTGGCTAATTTATGGTGTCTTTCCTCTTGAGCCCTTTTGTACGCAAATGGATACAAAAGGGCTCAAAAAGGATGCAAATATAGGGAACCACGAACATACCTCCAATAAGGCGCACAACAGCGATGATAATGCGTACATATTCCACCCACCTTCATAACGCTCCCGCCTATCAGGACCTATCAGACTTATGCTTTTTGTGCTTCTTTTCCTTGCCCATCTCGCGGTCCCCTCAGCGCATAAATGCCTCCGTCAGGACACGTCCACCCGAACAGCGCTAAGCCCCTTGGCACAATCTTGGGTGTGCATAAAGCTTATCACTTATGGCGCAGTGGATGCATTTTTGACGCAACATTCATTGTTTTGCTTGTTTCACACCATTTATTCATCAAGGTGTTAGAGTGCCACAGTGGCGGCATAAGCCATATTGCCACCAGGTGAAACAGTTAAGTTCGAAGCTAGTTGGGTAACAACTTGGATGTTATCACGTAGACGGTGTTTGTTGTAGCAGCGAGGGCGACGGATTTTTGCTTTCGCTGGACCAAGGCTATCCAACGACCCAACGTCATCCAGGCGCCGGACCCCAACGACCCAGCACCGGACCCAGTGCCATCTGATGTGGAAAGTCTTCAGAACATAACGGAAACGTAAAACCGTTTTTTAATGTACATTCAAACCCAAAAGCAATCAAGACGACGTGGAATATGGAGCAAAAGCTTGTAAAACACAAGTCTTATTTGCCTTTATTCCACCAGATTTAATTTAGCAGCCCAGATTTTCAAGGCGTCGATGCTGTTTGTTTACATTCCGCGGCACACGAGCTCGAGGCGCGGTATGCGCGAGGGGCGGGGGGGGGGGTTGGTGTGAGTTCAGGTACAGATACGCGTTGTTACATTATCTTGAAGCTACATGTACGGTTATAGTAAGTTTATAGCTCAACCAAGGTGTAATCTCCGCGGTCTGCAGCTGCAATGAGCATAATAAAGTACGAACGTGCGGAGCTGGAGAACAGCGATTTAGGGGATCACGTGGGTTGAATTGTCAGTTTTTGCTTTCATGGGCACTTCTAGGTTCCAGCTCCCTGTGGAGTAGGCTGCCACACTTGAGATGAAAATCGTGTGTCTTTTTACTCGCTTAACGGTCGGTCCTATGTTAACTATCGTAGGTTGCATGAGGTGTGCTCAATTGTGAATTTTGAGTCCAAGTTGGGAATAGGTATTTATGGCTTCCACATTCATCATTTCTGCCATGCTATGTGCACCTTTATGACCCATTAACCTGCCCAACACAAAGGCATTGGTAAGAACCAATTATCTCCAGGCACTCACATGGTTTATCCACTTCCACACCAAACAACAATTATATGTGAGGGATGGGCAATGTAACTGTCGAAGTAAAAAGCATTCTGGACCATGGCCAAAATTCTGATCATAACTGGACCATAGGTGTGGTAGTAAGGTCAGTTTTTCATAATGGGAATTTGACAACCACTGGCATCATCACCACAACACCCTCTCCATCATCACCCTGCAGGTCATCTTACAGGGGAAGTAAATATGCCATTTGAGTACCTGTGCTTATCGTTTACTGGGTTGCGTGCTCGGTGTTTGTTCGGTTCGGGTATGATGTCAGTGTCGCTTGGCGGGTTACTGGGCCGAAAATTGTGCACCGATTTCATCGGGGAGACGGTCGATGGCGGCGTTTTCCTCGCGCCCGTCAGCATCGACGAGTTGGCGACCAGCTGCATGCTGGGACCGATCGCACCCGGGAAGGACGTTGTGCTGAGTGTGCTGGCCTGAGTGGGGAATCGGAGATCGCGCAGTCGTGCTCAGCTTAGACACGGCTTTCACCTGGGGCGTCTTCGCGGGCGCGTGCACCGCCGCCGAGCAGGCTTTTCACCGCAAGCTTCCGAGCCTGGCTTGCTGACACCATGGGCAAGAATGTATCCGAGAAGGCCTTCACTGAGTGCGTGGGCACCTCTTGTGGTTCTGACTCAACTATTATCTCATCCGGGGGACTGCTAGCAGTTCTTCCGAACCGACCAGCGGTGCGCCATCTCCGAGGAAGGCCTCACCATGCCGCTGCCCCTGGCGCGGGACGATCTGATCGCGCATGTCCAGCGTCACATCAGCATGGGTGAACCGCGAACCGACTGCAGAGAGGTCCTTGGGCTGGAGCTGGCATCGTGGTGCTAGGCTGAGTTCCTGAGCGGTGCGTGATCGTCATACGACTTGGCTCGCCCCACCGCGCCCGGTAGGTGACGTAGGTGATCTGCACCAGCGAGCTCCTGCTGCTCCTGCAGCAGCTCGACATTATGGCTCGAGAGGTCCGGGACGTCCTGCTCCTCAAGACTTCGCCCTGTTGTTTAACACTGCGCTCGGTTCACCTCACCCGCTCCTGTCGCCGCCCCTCGAGTCGGTCTGGCGACGCTCAAGGCGCTGGTTGACTTTGCCAAGGCGGATGTGGCTGTCTCTGCAGGGTTGCCACTGTTGTGTTGCGGCGCCGTCGCTGGTACATGGGCGAACTTCGGGCCACCTCCGTCATCCGACTCACCGCTGGAGGTGAATCTCAAGCGACGCGACGGCCATCGATGACATGAAGAGCTCTAAAGAGCCCCCAGCACATTGCTCTGAACCTCTTCACAGATGAGCTCAGTGATTCTGTGGAGAACTTCCTCACTGAACCTGATTCGGATTATTCCAGATTGTTGAGGCAATCGGTCCAGCTGAAGTTGAACGCTCAAACTTTTCAAACATGAATTCTGAGTCTGATGTCCAAGATTCGCCATCTCAAATGTCATCTATAAAATCCCATTCGGCGGCAGGAAAACATCCCAGGGTAAGGACGCAAATTTTTTTGCCCGACTTTATAACTGTGTGCATTGTTAGTATGTTCTCATGGTGGTATTCCTATTGTAAGGAATCGAAGTAATATTTCAGTCTATCTGCTAATGTGAGATGTGGATACAGGTCTGCATGCTAATAATGTCATGTCATGTCATGTGCTGTCATGTGCTACTGTGACATATTCTGTGCTTACCACACCACCTGCTCTTCAACTGCGGCGTTGTGCCACCGCCGTGCCTGCAGTCCTCCCGGTTGAAGTCTGTGTCATGGATCAACAAGACAATGACGCAAAAGTCGATCGACGAGTCGGAGAGCATGCTGGAGCAGATCCGCGGTCGCCGCAGCCGCCGGCGCGACACCAGCAGCCAGGACGAGTCGCTGCAGCAGCGCGACGACAGCGTGAGTGGGGCCGGCGCGCGCACACCCTCCGCTCTGGTCAGCCGCTCGCGCTGTGCGGCGCCGGGGCCTGATGCATGCTGGGCCGCATCTCGAGGTCGCACCGGCTGCCTGCGTTCTGTATGGCGCCTATTAGCTCTGAGTAGAAACAGTGATGGGTAACTTTGACGGCAGTGTTTCTTTTTTGTGCACGGGTTTCCTGTTCCCCGTTGTCCCAACGAGCTCTACATGTATTTTCTGGCCCTACATGCGTCCTCTGACCGTCATGTATGCTTGACGTGATGCGGAGCCTGGCTAAGCCAGCCGAACGGGAGCCAGCATGACGCGGCCCGAACTGCCGGCCGCAGAGCGAGCTGGACGAGTTACCCACGTTCCGGCGCGTCGACTCGCACGACGAGGGCCCGTCCACCAGCCGGCTGGACGACGCGGACGAGGGGGCGGCCGGCGACTCGCCGCGCCCTCCGCCGTCGGCCGCGCGCCGCCGTCTCTCCACCGGGCAGGAGACGTTCCGCAGCCACCTACAGCAGCGCGTCAGCATCGCCGAGGTAGTGCGCCGGCTGCGCTGGCCGCTGGTCAGGCTGGAGTTGAGGTAGTGCGCCGGCTGCGCTGGCCGAAAGTCAACCTTAGACAGTGTGCTGGGTGTCCTTCTCCCGCGACGTCGACGGCAGGGATGCGTGTTTCACGCATGTTTTGAGTTCGTGACGTTTGCGATTGCGGTGCGTTTTTTTGTTTGTCTTTGTTTGTATTCTATTGGCGGCGACTGATAGCTATTCTTCAACTCATTGATAGCTGTCAAAAGATGGCTTGACTTGAGTGGCTTGAACGTCGGATCACCACGCGTCCGCTTGCGTGCCATTTGACGGTGCGGCAGCCACCGGCGCCGACTTCCGGCCGCCGGCAACGCGGGTGGGGCGTCCGAGTCGGCCGTAACCAGCCTCCCACCGGCAGATCAAGGGTCAGGGCCGACAGAGCCTCAAGACGAGGCCGCAGCCGCGCACCCGGTTCGACGCGCTGCGTGACGGCGCCACCTCGCGGCCGTACGAGGACTACATGGGCAGCAGGCCGGCCGGCCAGGTAAGAGCCGCGGGAGACGGCGTGCTGCCGGCGGACGGCCGCGCACAGGCGGAACGACGGACGGGGCTGAAGAGCCGGGGGTAGTGTCGAGCAGTGGTGGAGAGGCGGTGGGTGGTGTCGCACAGCTACCCACGGCTAGTGGGCGGTGTTGAGGAGTCGCGTACTAGGGCTGGTCGGTAGTGGCCAGTCGTGGGTAGGCGGCGTGCAGTATTGGACAGTGCCGGGTGGTGGGTAACCCCACACGAGCGATGGGTGGCAGTGGCCAGTCATGTGCAGGTGGTGTGCAGTATGGATGGACCGCGAACGATACCGCACGAGGTGAACTCTGAGACTGGCTACTCGGACGGTCGTGCGCATGCGCGCGCGACAGTGCGGGGCGAATGAGCTGTGGCAGAGGGCGAGTGTCGGCCTTTCCGTCTGGGATAAGGTTCTATCACGTCAAGCCGTGCGCCTTAAGATCGTTTGAGATCGAACGTCAGAGGGGGCCGGCAGCTGAGCGGCGCTCTCTGTGTGGACGAGGGAAGCGAGCCTGGCTGACTATCCAGCGTGTATCGACGCGACCACTGTACTCTGTCGACACAGGCAGTCACAGCAGGTAGTGGCTGGGTGAGCCCGGGGCTTGTCATTCACGCGCCTGACGCGGAGCGAGGCTGTCTCTCCAGTGCGCGTCCAGTGCCGTCGACTGTGGGATGTCTCAAGGGGTGCGTGATGACGCGGCAGGCTGTGGGGCGGTGCAGCTGGTGCCTCTGTGCTGCTCTCGCCCGCACCGCTGTTGCTGCACACGGAGGCGGCACGGCCTAACAGGCACTGTTTTCCTCAGTCGGGTCCGTCGGCGGTCGAAGCGTACGACTTCTTCTGCCGCGTCTGGGAGGACACCACCGAGGCCCAGAGACCGGCCACACCGCCGCCCGATCCCGCAGGTCAGCCACACTCGACCCCACGGCCGGCAGGGTCAGCTGCAGTCGGCCCCACCACCGGCAGGGTCAGCCACGCTCGGCCCCACCACCGGCGGGATCAGCCACACTCAACCCCATCACCGGCAGGGTCAGCTGCAGTCGGCCCCACCGCCGGCAGGGTCAGTCACACTCGGGCCCACCACCGGCAGGGTCAGCCACACCCGGCCCCACCGCCGGCAGGGTCAGCCACACTCGGCTCCACAGCCGGCAGGGTCAGCCACACTCGGCCCCACCACCGGCAGGGTCAGCCACACTCGGCCCCACTGCCGGCAGGGTCAGCCACACTCGGCCCCACCACCGGCAGGGTCAGCCACACTCGGCCCCACTGCCGGCAGGGTCAGCCACACTCGGCTCCACAGCCGGCAGGGTCAGCCACACTCGGCTCCACAGCCGGCAGGTTCAGCCACACTCCGCCTCACCGCCGGCAGGGTCAGCCACACTCGGCCCCACTGCCAGCAGGGTCAGCCACACTCGGCTCCACAGCCGGCAGGGTCAGCCACACTCGGCCCCACTGCTGGCAGGTTCAGCCACACTCGGCTCCACAGCCGGCAGGGTCAGCTGCAGTCGTCCCCACCACCGGCGGGATCAGCCACATTCTGCCCCATCACCGGCAGGGTCAGCTGCAGTCGGCCCCACCGCCGGCAGGGTCAGCCACACTCGGGCCCACCGCCGGCAGTGTCAGTCGCCCGCCTCCAAACGCAAAAGTGGTGCGACGACCTCCGAAAAGGAAGTCGCGGCGGTCATTGGCGGAACTTTAGGCGGCTGTCTTGATACGTGACCTTTATGTGTAGTATGGATAGGCCATCCTCCATCCCATTTGCGGCGCCCCAGTTTTACATCATACATCATCAGACTCCTGTCCGCTTGGTCACTGTTACGGCTTCCTTTTATGCATTTCGCATTGCGGCTGCGGTGCGTTGTTGCCGAAAGGGATACGATGTTCATGAGTCGACCTAGTGAAGGACTGAACTACAGCGAGACAGCCAGTTTCACCTGGAATTTCAATCCGCAGCGCCTTTCAGATGGTGATGTAAAACAGGGGGTCAGCTGTTTGGTTGTATAATGGGACGCCATGTTTCCGTGTATCTTGGCTACACCTCGGACATGTCTGGCCTCATGCCCCGTCTTTCCCACTGTCCATGCTGTGAAAGATTGTGTCATCTCTTACAGCTGCTGGCTGACTGGGCCTGACCTGCGTGTCAGATGAAGGCAGCAGCATATTGTACCTTCTGTTCAGGCTTCCGACCCGACGTGACTGCGTGTGGCCGTGCCCACAACCTGAAGGTGACCTGGCCGAACTGACTGTGACGTATTCCGCAGAGGAGGGCGCCGGCGAGTCCCGGCCGCTGGTAGAGCTGCTGGGTGGTGAGGTGGAGCCGCTCACCCGTCACGTGCCCCCGCTGATCCTCTCGCGGAAGGCACAGCGGGAGCGGGAGGCGGAGCTGTACTTCGCGCCGGCTCTGATGCCCCGTGAGTCTACTCGGCCCTCTCCCCCCCTCCCCCTCACCCGCGCCGGCTCTGTTAGCCCCTGAATCCACCCGGCCCTCTCTCCCTCCCCTCCTGCGCCGGCTCTGGTGCCCCGTGAGTCTACCCGGCCCTCTCCCCCTCCCCTCCTGCGCCGGCTCTGGTGCCCCGTGAGTCTACTCGGTCCTCTCCCCCTCCCCTCCTGCACCGGCTCTGGTGCCCCGTGAGTCTACCCGTCCCTCCCCCCCCCCCTCACCCGCGCCGGCTCTGTTAGCCCCTGAATCCACCGGCCCTCTCCCCCTCCCCTCCTGCGCCGGCTCTGGTGGCCCCGTGAGTCTACTCGGTCCTCTCCCCCTCCCCTCCTGGGCCGGCTCTGGCGCCCCGTGAGTCTACCCGGCCCTCTCTCCCTCCCCTCCTGCGCCGGCTCTGGTGCCCCGTGAGTCTACTCGGTCCTCTCCCCCTCCCCTCCTGGGCCGGCTCTTGCGCCCCGTGAGTCTGCCCGGCCCTCTCTCCCTCCCCTCCTGCGCCGGCTCTGGTGCCCCGTGAGTCTACCCGGCCCTCTCGCCCTCCCCTCCTGCGCCGGCTCTGGTGCCCCGTGAGTCTACTCGGTCCTCTCCCCCTCCCCTCCTGCGCCGGCTCTGGTGCCCCGTGAGTCTACTCGGTCCTCTCCCCCTCCCCTCCTGGGCCGGCTCTGGCTCCCTGTGAGTGTACCCGGCCCTCTCTCCCTCTCCTCCTGCGCTGGCTCTGGTGCCCCGTGAGTCTACCCGGCCCTCTCCCCCTCCGCTCCTGCGCCGGCTCTGGTGCCCCGTGAGTCTACCTGTCCCTCTCCCCACCCCCCTCTCACCCGCGGGCTCTGTTAGCCCCTGAATCCACCCGGCCCTCTCCCCCTCCCCTCCTGCGCCGGCTCTGGTGCCCCGTGAGTCTGCCCCGCCCTTCCCCCCGCATACGATGTACGCCGGTGATCGTGCGTCGACTGACCCAGTGGGTCTGGTCTCAAAATGCCGGCTTGTATGCACTCAAGAGCATCGTCGTTTGAGTTTACCCATGCAGGCACTGGTTTTTCTCGCTAGATTACTGTACCCCCTTCATTTCATTGCGTCATCAAGGTGTGTCAGAATGTCACTTTGTTTCGGCTGACCCCATCCTTCATCGTGCCGGATTGAGTAATGATCGGGAAAATCGAGACCATGCTGCGCCCATCAAGGTAAATTGGACGTTATGCGTCTTGTATACTGAACTCGCCAGTCACTTCGGACACTACGCTACAATGGTCCATAGCCATATCCTGGATGAGCCGCAGCCGTCCGTGTGAGTGACCGCGTTGTTCTCTGCACCCCTGCCATGGAGGAGGGGAGGGAGGGGGGGGGGGGGGCGAGCAGCTACCTCTCCTCTGCAGCATGCTTCACTGTGATGTCCTCTGCTTGCCTTACCCTGGAGAAGCGGCCGCCCCTGCTCCGTGCTCGGTCTGACTGTGTTGCCCTCTGTGCGCTCTGCAGCGGCCCTGGAGGAGCGGCTGCCCCCCGGCGGCCAGCTGCGGGACCTGGCCGAGGACGGCATCTATGTAGCGCACCGGCCGCTCCGTGTATCGCGCAACCTGCACAAGCTGGAGAACCGGTTGCTGCGCCACTCGGGCAGGTAAGCGTGGAGGCGCCGGCAGCAGCGCCGGGCAGACCGGGGGAAGGGGAGGGGGGGGGGGGGCTGCGACGGTAGCGGTTGGCAGAGCTGGGCAGACTGGGGGGGGGAGGGGGGAGTTGTGACGGCAGCGCCGGGCAGACCGGGGGGTGGGGGGCTGCGACGGTAGCAGTGGGCAGAGCCGGGCAGGCCGGGGGGGGGGGGGTTGTGATGGCAGCGCCGGGCAGACCGGGGGGGGGGGGGAGGGGGAGGCTGCGACGGCAGTGGTGGGTAGACCGGGGGGGGGGGGGGGGGGAGGGGAGGGCTGCGACGGCAGCGCTGGGCAGGGGCCCACTGAAGCGCGCAGGGCAGTGCACTGTATAAGATAGCGGATGAATCGCCCGTAGATGAAAATTGCCATCGGCATGGCCGCGTGGAGTTTGGTGGTGTTCACGTCGTGCCATCTGTTGTCGAGTGGTCCACTGACCTGACCTACACTGCGTTGGGTAACGCTGCGGTGACTGCGGCTCCGCATCGAGCGTCTCGGATGCCATTGATAGGCGCGCTGATCCCACCGGCAAGTCCAGATAGCGATCGCGTTAGCGGTGATACCCACCCTGCACGTTATTCTGCTCCTCCACCGACTGAGGAGTTGACTAAGTGAGCTGTGCAGTGTTGAAAATAGTCATAACGTGTTACTGTTCAAGTGATTACCGACTTGTCCCGTGTGATGTCCTTGTCGTGTGACATGGTGCTGTTGGCACCAGGAATCAACCCCCTGGTAGGCACCAGTTGGAACACCGAATGTATATTCTGCGAATATTGACAGGCCTGAATATATCTGGCTCAGCTATATCCATGAGCAGAACGTGAATGAGCCGATGCTGTTGTAATATTCACGTTTCAGGTCTTGGTTCGGCGAAGATGGCCAGTTGATCTGTCTCCCGGACCCGCTCCTAAACCGGCCCTGCCACCATGACTACAAGGACGTGTCAGATGACGTGCTCACAGACTACATTCCAGTGAGTGTTCAAGCGGCAACCGCCAACCATAAGTGCAGGGTATCTGATATTGGACAATGCATGTCTAGGTATTTGCTGAGTGCTCCACATGTCCTCGTGTTAGTGTGGTCCTGTCCTCATCGCCCTAACTCCGAGTCGGAGTGTGTCGTCTGTGCTCACTTCCTGCTCCTCGCCTTTTGGCCAACTCTTGAAACAGGTCATTGGCTTATGCTAAGGCGATGCCCATCTCCAATAAGGCAATATCCCAGTAAAACAAAACATGAAATAGTACGACACTCTACCGATGACTCGCTCATACAATACAGGTGGCAGCACTGTTTGGCCGGCGCCCTGCACAGGCCTGCCGTACCGGCACCGCGGCCCGAACACCGGCCTGGACTGGCGGCTATGGCGTCCTGCCCGCAGGCGTCGCTGGACCTGCTGAAGGCGGAGCCGGAGCCGCGAGGCGACCAAGACCTGCGGCTGCAGCTGCACGTGCACGTGCTGTCGGTGGAGCTGCTGCAGCACCCGCTCTTCTCGCGGCAGCACCAGGCGGCGGCGGCGCTCTCCGAGCTGCACGAGGAGTACACCAAGATGGTGCGTCGGCGGCTCACTCTCCTGCGTTGAGCCTGTGTGCTGCCAGCTGGGCGTACACACCTGCAGAACACACGGACGACGGCACTCGGCCGTAACGCCTCGGTGACCTGCCACCACACGCCGCTGGGAGGGGCGTACACACCTACAGAACACGCGGGCGGCGGCACTCTGCCGTAACGCCTCGGTGACCTGCTGCCACACGCCGCTGGGAAGGGCGTACACACCTACAGAACACACGGGCGGCGGCACTCTGCCGTAATGCCTCGGTGACCTGCCGCCACACGTCGCTGGGAGGGGCGTACACACCTACAGAACACGCGGTCGGCGGCACTCTGCCGTAACGCCTCGGTGACCTGCCGCCACACGTCGCTGGGAGGGGCGTACACACCTGCAGAACACACGGGCGGCGGCACTCTGCCGTAACGCCTCGGTGACCTGCCGCCACACGTCGCTGGGAGGGGCGAACACTCCTGCAGAACATACGGGCGATGGCACTCTGCCGTAACGCCTCGGTGACCTGCCACCACACGCTGCTGGGAAGCCTCAGCTGCCACCTGGACGTCTGTGATGCAGACAGCGGCCGACCGTGTTCTTCACCTTCGTTTGCTATGTTTCGTACAATCCACGCGGTCCCCGCGACACCTCCGTGTCTGTCATAGGCATGGACAAGGGGCGTGAAATGCCCTTCAAAATGTACCAAGGAAAGTTTTTTGCATTTCTGAGGACAATGAAATTTTGCACAGTACATTCCCGACGCTAAATAAACAATACGCCGTAATAGGCGCCGTTCATCAACCTGGACGCGTCTGCCGGACAGCATGACGCTGGCGGTGGCGGGGTAGTAGCGGTCCGTTGCTGACAGTAGCGATTCCGTGCTGACAGTGGCAGTCCCGTGCTGACGACAGCGGTCCCGTGCTGACAACAGCGGTCCCTTGCTGCCAGTAGCGGTCCCGTGCTGACAGAGGCGGTCCCGTGCTGACGACAGCGGTCCCGTGCTGACAACAGCGGTCCCTTGCTGCCAGTAGCGGTCCCGTGCTGACAGAGGCGGTCCCGTGCTGACGACAGCGGTCCCTTGCTGCCAGTAGCGGTCCCGTGCTGACGGCAGCGGTCCCGTGCTGACGGGGCCGCTGCGACATAGCGATGGCGATGGCGAATGTAAGAATGATGTTCAGAAAGAACCAGTATTTCGTCATTATTTCTCGTGCATCGATGGTGGGATTAGAAGTTGCATATCTGGGCATTAAATGTCGAAGTCGTTTGGCAAGTAGACCGGTCTACATGCGTTGTTTCCACCCAAAGTCGGCGGATTTGCGTCGCGCATGCGTGGGACAACACCGGCAGCGGCGAACACGGCGGCTGTGGACCGTGCGGCGCCGGTGACCCCGGCCTCGGTGACGAGGGTGGCGTCGGCCGCAGGTGCGGGACGACACGGTGGAGCGGCTGACGCAGCGGCTGTGGGCGGTGCGGCGCGCGCGCGACGGTGTGCTGTCGGCGCTGCAGCTGCAGCCGGCGGCCGACCCGCCCGACGAGGTCCAGCGCCGCCGCGTCGACGAGTACCTCGGCTCCGTGCAGCGGCTGCGCACGCAGCGTGACGAGGCCGCCGGACGGCAGCGCAGGCTCTGCAGGTCCGTCGCCGCTCCCCAGCCACTTGCTGCGTGGCCGGCAGGGGTCGGGTGCCATGACGGGGGAGTGGAATGTGGGCGCACGTGGTGCCGGTTTCGGATAAGTTTCCGCCGGTCGGGTGTGTTACCGGCAGCTGTCGAGCCGCGGGAACTGTCAGGCAAGCAGGCGTAGCATGGTACTTCCTGTTACCGCTTCAACGGCCATTTTTACCGTCGTCGTGTCTCTACCTCGCGCCCATGTATGTCCCGCGCCCGCAGTCCGCCCACTGGCATTGGAACGGCAGAACAGATATCTGCCCTCGTGACATCACGCTCCGCTGCCTTCTCGCCCCATCACCGGCCCGGCGCCTGCTGTCTCCGTCGCTGACGCCGTGCCGACGCCCCCGCCCTAGGTCGATCCTGCGCCGGTGGCGCGAGCTGAAGGGCCTGCGCGAGGACCAGGGCTTCAGCAGCACACCGCTGCGGCTGGTGGTGCGCGACCTGAGCGTGGACGCCGGCCAGGAGGCGGAGCGCTGGCGGCAGGAGCTGCAGGCCGAGATGGACGAGCTGGAGGCGGAGCACGGCCGGCACCGGCAGCAGCTGATGCAGAGGTGCGTGTGGCTGTACGCGCTCCGGTCACCACGGAGGACGTGGAGAGCGGGGCGGAGCGTGCTGCGCTGATGTCTTCTGGACTTTTGCGCGAGCGAGCGCTTTAGTATTATTGGATCATCACATTTGGTGGTGCTGAAATATGGAGTTACCAAATGCGTCGTTGCTGAGTGGCATCGGACCTGTCAAGAGGTGTTGAGTCTGTGTTAGTCAAGTCCGTGTCAGTTCAAGTGTCAATTCAGGTGCGTCTGCATTGCTGAGACTGTCAGGCGAGACTGGCTGGCCGCCGCCGGCACTGACGGCGCCGTTCGGTCTTTGTGCAGCTACCAGCAGGAGCTGTCCGAATGGAAGAAGCGACGCCACGAGCTGGCCGGCGAGCCGGCCGACCGGCGGGAGCAGCTGGGGCCGCGGCCGTCGCCGCCGCCGGAGTTCGACCGGCAGAAGGTCAGCACCAGCGCCGCGCCGCGCCGGCTGGTGACCTGTGACCAGGACCTGTAACGCACCTCCAGCGGGGTGACTTTCAAAAGGTTGGCGACCTGGGCCTTCTCGGTTCCAATGGTGCAGTTGTTTAGTCAGTCGCTTAGGTACGTCTGAAATTGTTCATTTTGATGACTCCGAAGTCACTGCATCAGCCCGGTATTCATTATTTCATGAAATGGAATAACGATAGGCATATGTCGGATAATCTTGGCGCTTTCTCGATAACGGACCACGGACAGAGAACTATGCGATATGACCAGTGTTGTCCGCGTCTGCCGGAGAATGTTCGGAAGTTGAGCGGTTCTAATCAGGCGTTACACGTGCGAGGCGGTCTCAGCGCCATCATTATCCACATCAGCGCGAACTCGGCGACTGTGAATGACGCCACAGCCGGTGCACATTGAGTCGTGCTGCGGATGTCAAAAATGTCGATCGCCAAGGCTCATCCCTGATCGTGTCAGCGTGCTGGCCGGTTGTAAATAAGCGACTGACCGCGTCTTGGGACGCGAACGTGTGGGGTGTGACCGGGCGCTAACAGTGTGAGCTGGCGAGAGGTGGTGACCCGCTGGCCGTGCGCAGACGCTGGCCGAGGTGGAGAGCCGCGCCACCAGTAACCGGCGGCCGCCGGGCGAGCCCAGGCTGGCGTTCGATCTGCTGGACACGCACCCGGTGACGGAGCTGGCTGACTGTCCCAAGTACGTCCGCCGCCCGGCCGACCCGGCCCGGCGCCGCCCGGCCTCTGCCCCGCTGGCGCCCACTCGGCCGGCCCGACCGGGGGCTGTCCGGCCGCGGCCCCGCTGGCGCCGCTCGGCAGCCGCTGGCGCTTCATTGTGGCCACCGATCGGTGTGGCCTTGTCGACGAGTGCTGATACGAAATGCGTTCAAACGGGTGATTTGTGAATGGGTTGGTTTTGGAGATGTCCACGCGGCCGTCGTGTCCGATCATGACGTCATTATACGGCGACTGTGATTGGACTGCAGCTCACAGCCTGCCACGGAGCTCCGTGTCGCTGCAGCACGCCGCGGAGACGTGGCACGGAGTCCACGGCAAGTGACGGAGGCGGACGGAGACAGTGCCCTCTGCTGGCTGCGTGACTATTTCAGTGGTTAAGCGGGCGTTCCATCTGTGCAGTGGCCGTCCGACTGTCTGTTGTGGCTCCGTGACGCTCTGTGTTGTGGCACTTGGGCCGGCCCCGTGTCGTTACGCTGAGATTGGCAAGTGCTTGTTGTATCGGGCCCCGCTGACCCCGGGGACGGCCCGTCTCCGTGCTGTCGTCTGCCGCTCCCCTGACCGCTCCGCCGGCCGGCCGCAGGGCGGAGCAGCAGCGCCGCCAGGCGGTGGCGCGCTGCCAGCTGTCGGTGCGCGCGTTCGTCGGCGCGCGCGAGGTGAGCCGCACGCGCTCGCAGCCGCTCACACAGCAGATGACGGCCGCGTTCGAGCAGCTGTTCGCCGTGCGGCTGCGCCACGCCCCCGACGCCGTCCAGCTGTGGGCGTGCGAGGAGGGCAGCCTCTCCAGCCGCGTGCTGGCCAAGGTGCGGCTGCCGGCTCCGCCCAGGTGAGGCGTGCTGCCGCGGCGCCGTGGCCGTGGGAAGCGGCCGCCGCCACGCCTGGCAGCTGGGTCGTGTACAGTGTCCTGCTAGTATTCATGATAGGCGACCTCAAGTGGCCATGTGCCGCAGCTACCAAGCGCTTCTTACATTGGCGTCAAATGGAACAGCAAAGCGGAGTACTGTCTGCCTGGAGACCAGTTAATTGTGTTCCGTGCGCAGAGGCCAGTCGACATAGAGGCAGTTTATCCGTCCGTCCACAGCGTACCCCGAAAACCAGTTGACCGAGGATGTCTCTCTCGTTACATCACGCGCGCCGCATGCAGAGCGCCCTGTCAGCCCGTGCCCCTCCCCCTCTCATCCCCTCCTGAGCGGCGGCGCTCCTCCGACAGTCACGTAACGTCCCGCACGGCGCGGCCGGAGTGGGCGGCGTTCACCAGCGCATCAGCGGGCGGCGGCGGCGGCCGGGAGCCGACGCGCGGCCGCCTGCTGGCCGCCCTCTGCTGGGGTCTGGACGAGCAGACGGGCGAGGTGCTGGCACCGCCAGATGCCGCCGGCGGCCTGGCAGTGGACGCCGCCCTGCTGCCCGGGCCCGACCCCAACGACCCGGCCGAGCTCGGCCTGACCGGCCAGGACCTGGTGAGTGGCGGGCGACGGGAGCGGCGGGCGCGCCGGCCGGCTGCGCTCCTGCCGGACCTGAGCCAGAACACGAACACACCGGACACGAAACAGAACATTCTCGGGAGGTGCCCTTCAGGGAGTAAAAGGCGACAAAGTCTCTGTGGTAGGCCCTTGAGGATGATTGATGTCTTTAGCCACTTTAAATTTGGCAGAGGTATTTCTTGTGCTCGGTAGTGGAGCGTTTCTACAGCGCGTGCCACACTTCAGTCGCAACAAAGGAAATGACGTTGGCTTCTGAGTGTGGCGCCAGACGGCACGGCCGCATCGGCGCCCCTGTGCCGACCCCCCACGGCCGGTGAGCGGCCGCCACTGCTCTGTCGTCAGCCGGAATCGGCGGCGGCGGCCGGGGCTGCGGCGGCGCTGGCCGGGCCGGACGCCGTCGGCCGCGACGGCTTCCTGCCGGGCGCGCCGGGCCCGGAGGCGAGCTTGCGCTGCCGCCTGCTGCGCCTGAGGCACGCCGGCGTGCCAGAGTTTCGCCACGTCACCATGACGCCGCTGCGCGAGCAGCAGGTGCCGCAGCAGCTGTTCACGGTCAGTGCCGCTGCCGCAGCAGCTGTTCACGGTCAGTGCCGCTGCCACAGCAGTTGTTCACGGTCAGTGCCGGCTGCCGCAGCAGCTGCTGACGGCAGCAGACGGGTGCCAAGGCTCGGCCCATATTCTCGCCTGACATTAAGGCGTAAATGTGACCGTTTTCGTGATCAGCTCCGCAGGTGAAAACTCCTGCATATAAACAAGCTCTTCAGGTCCCCAACTGCACCGGCACTCGAGATGTTTGCCTCAACGAACTTGCGTACTTGCGAACTTGGTAGGGCTGATATGCGAGCAGGAGAGAGCCCAGCACTTTGGTGGCCTGGAGTCCGGACCCAGTCGTAGTCCTGTTCTCAGTAAGTTATTTTGTTACGTCTCTCTCCTTGGACGAGTTGGTCGCCCTTTCCCCGGGCTCGGGACATCTGGAGGAGCCCCGTGTAGGCCGCTCCGTCGGGTGAGCGGTGGCTCTCTGCCGTCTCGGCAGACGTACCAGAAGCGTCTGGAGGCGCAGTCGGACGCGGCGGAGGCGGTTGGTAACGGCGGCGGCGGCGGCGGCGGCGGTGGCGCGGAGTCCGCGCGCCGGTCGGTGCTGCAGTACCAGCTGCGCATCAAGGAGATGGTGGCTCGACGCTTCAGGGCGGCGCAGAAGCATAAACGTCTCTCGGACGTGGTCCGCGAGGACCAGGTCCCCGACATCGGGTCAGGGTCGGGGTCGGGACAGGGTCGGGTCAGGGTCGGGCGGGGTCGGGTAAGGGTCGAGTAGGGGCAGGGTCGGCAGGGTCGGGGTAGGGCGTCGGGGTCAGGGTCAGGGTCGGCAGGGGTCGGGGTCAGGGTCGGGTAAGGGTCGGGTCAGGGTCGGGGTAAGGGTCAGGGTCAGGGTCGGGGTAAGGGTCAGGGTCAGGGTCGGGGTAGGGGTCACGGGTCGGGGCAGTGTCGGGGGTAGGCGTCAGGGTCAGGGTAGGGTCATGGTCGGGCAGGGGTCGGCAGGGTCGGGCAGGGTCGGGGTAGGCGTCAGGGTCAGGGTAGGGGTCAGGGTCGGGCAGGGTCGGGGGTAGGCGTCAGGGTCAGGGTCGGGCAGGGTCGGGCAGGGTCGGGGTAGGCGTCAGGGTCAGGGTAGGGGTCAGGGTCGGGCAGGGTCGGGGTAGGCGTCAGGGTCAGGGTCGGGGTACGGGTCGGGTACGGGCCGGGGTATGGACCAGGTCCGAGTGCGGGTAAGGCTCGGGTCAGGTCAGATCAGGTCACGCCAGATCGGGGTCGGGTTTAGGCCAGGTCGGACCAGGGTCAATCTCGGGGTCGCGGTCGGGTCAGGGCCAGAGACGGTGGCAGACGCGCGCAGCGGCATGCCGTCGGCGGGGTGTGGAAGGCGAGACTTTGGACAGGAGCTGGCGCTGCCCAAGCCCGGCATCGAGCTTCCGTCTAAGTGAATCTATGACGGGCGGAGAACATACTCGTCTTGTGCGCTGTTTGATCGTTACGGGGCTGATGTTCATGTGCATGCTGATTGCATGCCTCATCCAACACTAGCTCGATGACGACAATTTTCTATTTCCGTCAGTGACATTTTTCCAGTACCGTGAGCAACGAGCGGAAGTTACCAGCATTGCGTGATTAGTTGGCATATGACAGTCGGTGGTCCCTGCCCCTGCAGGACGATTGGGTCCGTGTTCGGCAGCCTGTTCTCCCCGCGTCGTCCCCTGAACCCGCCGCGGAGGCAGAAGAAGTCGCGTCCATTCGTCGACATCCAGGCAAGTGTGCCCCCCCCCCCCCTGTTCCACTGGACTGCCCCCTCCCCCCTCCTGTGTTGTTCGGTACGCATTCATCATCAGTTATCGAACAACGCACAGAACTCAACCAGTCGATGACGATCTTACAAGGATTTTGAGCAGGTCTCCGATGACGCAGGCTTTTCATGACTGGTCCCATGTTTTCGGTAAGGATTCAATGCATTTCAGATGTTGTGCACCCCTGGAATGTCATTTCAGACAATGGGACTATCGAACTGAGCGGAAGGCAATAAGTGGAGAGGAGAACCGTTCGCTTGTGGTGTGATTACCAGGCGCACTGTCATTCACACACACTGATTTCAGCGACTGAAGCTGGCTGGACCGGGCAGTGCGAAGTGCAGCGCTTGCGCGGCAGTCTGCCGGCGCCCCGCTAACGCGTGCGTCGCCGCCCTCCGGTCTCCACAGGGTCAGGAGCTGCGCCTCATATGTCACGTGGTGCGCGCGTTCAACGTGCCAGTTCGCCGGGACGTGGACACAGTGCGGACGGACTTCAGCCGACCGGCCGCCGGCGCCGCCACAGGTGAGCTGCCCTCCCCGGGGAGGAGGGGAGAGGGGGACGGACGCTCCGGACGCACCGGCCGAGACGGCGGTCGGCGACGCGCGTCGGTGCGGAATGGGGCATTTCTGACGGAATAGCCGCGGGTGGGATCGCTGTGTACGCACCAGACCGTTCACGTGGGTCTTGACCTGCCCGTATTGTCTGTAATGCGCATTGTTGCCGGGTGTGTTGTGATGGCGTCCAGACAGACTGCCGAGGTAAGACTTCATTAGTGATCCGTCTGTCAGTGATGCCAGACCACCCTTGGTGCTGTGCCAGGTGCACGAGCACCACAGGCCCAGCCAGTTCCGCGATGTTTCGTCAATGTTGTGCTGTTTTCTAGCGGCGTTGGCATTTTGATGATAATGCTGTTTAAATGTCTTTCGTTATTGCCACCCTTCCACTGCTGCTGGTGCCGCTGTTGTGTCTCCGATGCTGTGTGGTTTGGCTGTTGCCAGCGGTCTGGTGACGCTGCTTCTGCCCTTCTGGCGTGGCTGTGCGGTTGGCTGCCCTTTTCCAATGGCGTGCTGATGCCTGAGGTGTCCTGACCATGGCTGCTGTGGTCTCACTGATGGCCGTGTTCCAGTGACAAAGTCCAGTCCGCTGCCCGAGGTGTCCTGACCATGGCTGCTGTGGTGCCGTGTTTCAGTGGCCCAGCCCAGTCTGCTGCCCGAGTTGTCTTGACCATGGCTCACTGACGGCCGTGTTCTAGTGGCCCAGTCCAGTCTACTGCCCGAGGTGTCCTGACCATGGCTGCTGTGGTCTCACTGACGGCCGTGTTCCAGTGGCCCAGTCCAGTCTGCTGCCCGAGGTGTCGGTGCGGCCGTTCATGGAGCTCACCTTCCAGCGCCACACAGTTCGCTCGAACGTGGCTGAGGGCGCCAACCCCACCTGGAACCAGGACCTCAAGCTGCCTGTCACGTGAGCCGCCCAGACACACAGAGCCGCCACGTGGACAGGGTGTCTCTGTGTGTCCCTGTGCCCGTGCGTGCGTGCGTGCGTGCGTGCGTGCGTGCGTGTGTGTGTGTGTTTGGGGGAGTGAGCGTATTACTCATACCTTGAGCCTCAGTGGACGGTTGGAACCATAATGAGACTGGCTGCGGTATATGTGAATGCACATGGAGCTGTTTGAGAGAAGGTGGTGACATTTGTTGGCCTTGAATTTTGCCACCGATGGCTATCCTGAGAAGCCTGGTAGTCATACGGATCGAATGATTCGGTGGGGTAGGCAGAGCCTGTACTGGAGCCGATCAGTGTGTCATGTGCTGACGCCTCGCCTTCTGCGTGAGCACCAGCCGGCCCCACGGCGCCGGCGGGCTCAGGTGTCACGCCTCCCCTCCCCTCCCCTCCCGGGGTGCCGGTGTCTCCCTCTGTTACCCGCCGCGTCTGCTCGGTCGTCAGGATGCCGGCCCACGAGTCAGCCGACCTCAAGTGCCTGGACGACGCCATCTACCTGAGCCTACAGGACGAGGTGCTGGTCGACCTGCTGGAGGACGACCGCCAGGTGGACACCAACATCCACCAGCGGATCGAGCGGCGCTGGCTGGCCGAGCTGCGCATCCCCTTCTCCACGCTTTACATCAACGGACGGGTGTGTGCGCCGCGCCCCCTGGTCGGGGGCCGTCGGCCCGCCACCGCGCCGGCCCCCCCCGGGCCAACCTCGGCCGCCGCCAGCCGCGCCGGCCCGCCAGCCGCGCCGGCCACCGTCCCCTGCCGCCGGATCAGGGAGCCCGGTCCGGATGGCGGAATGTGCCGCATGTGTGCGCGGTGGAGCGCGCGGTGGGTGCTGGTTGGTCTCCTTCGGTTGTTCGCGTGGTAGGTGGGTGTGATGCTTCACTAGTGTGCGCGAAAGCGGGCGTATGTGTCCGTGATGTACATCGAACTCGGATGGTTTACGCCCGGTTCCATTCAGTCGGTAACGGCTCCGCCGCGTCTCCCCGCGCCGCCGGCAGGTGGAGGGCACGTTCCGCCTGAACACGCCGCCGCTGCTGATCGGCTACGAGTGTGACGTCACGGCGCGTGGCACCGTGTTCCACCTGACCGAGAGCCTGCCGACCGGCCAGTCGGGCACGTACGTCACCGTCTTCATGACACTGGAGCCGCCCCTCAACATCCCGCCCATGGTGCAGGTGAGAGCCGCGGACGGACGGACGCGAGCCCCCGGGGCGTGGCTGGAGGTGGTGCGTGACGCCTCTGCCGAGGTTCAGTGCGGCGGGCGGGCGGCGCAGGGGAGAGCTGAGCACGAACAGGTGGGGGGGGGGGGGGGGGGGGGGGGCGTGGCTGGAGGCGGTGCCTGACGCCTCTGCCGGGGCTCAGGTATGGCTGGCGGGCGGCGCACGGCACATCGCCGGTGCGGGCGTAGGTCGGAAGGGAACGCCACGCGGCTGCCGGGCTGGTAGTGAGGCCATGCGCGCCGTATGCATGTGTGTAGCCGATGGGCGAAGGACGGGGGCCGCTGCGAAGTATGGTCAGCTGCACCGGACGTCGCTAAACATCGGCCCAGTCCAGGCCGTCCACCGGCTCAATAGGCCAGGGGTTTGATACCACACAACGGTGCGTGACGCCGGAGATCATGTGGCCTGTTCAAATATACAGTGGCATATCTTCCAGCTGTAGGCGCTGCCGCTCAGGTATACTGAACGCTCGGACGCCGTTGCATCCGTGGGCTGTAAACAGCAAACTGCGGCAGAAGCTTACGCGCACACAGAGCAGTATTGTGTGTGCCATCTTGGCTTGTGTCCAAGTTGTACGCGCAGGCAGTCTTTCTATGGGTACAATTTCAGTGCACCCTTTCCGTTCTAAGGCTGTTTGTGGAGGTCCTACCTGTCACTGACGTCGTCATACGCACGGTTACGTGCAACGTCCAGTGATTGGCGCCCAGCCTGACCCCGAGCGGTGCGTCCAGAGGTGTGTGTAGGTCGGTCTGCCCGCCGCACCGCTGACCTGACCACCGCACCGCAGACCTGACGGCCGTACCGCAGACCTGACGGGCGCACCGCAGACCTGGTGGCCGTACTGCTGACATGACCGCCGCACCGCAGACCTGGCGGCCGTACCGCTGACATGACGGCCGCACCGCAGACCTGGCGGCCGTACCGCTGACATGACGGCCGCACCGCAGACCTGGCGGCCGTACCGCTGACATGACCGCCGCACCACAGACCTGACGGCCGTACCGCTGACCTGACCGCTGCACCACTGACCTGACGGCCGTACCACAAACCTGGCGGCCGTACCGCCGACATGACCGCCGTGCAGCAGACCTGACCTGTCGTGACCGCTGACCTGACCTGTCGTGACCGCTGACCTGACCTGACCGCTGTGCCGCTGCCCCGCCCGCCGCACCGCTGACCTGCCCGCCGCGTGCCGTCGGCAGGAGCGGCTGGACAGTATGGAGTCGGAGAAGCTGCTAGACCACTGCGAGGCGTGGACGCGTGACTACCAGCGGGCGTTCGCCGGGCGTCGGGTGCGCTGCACAGTGATGGACGTGACGGGCCGCTCGGCGCTCGTCTGCCGCTACATCCGGCCCCTGCGGCCACCGGACGCCGTGCTAGGTCAGCGGCAGCGGCCCGCCGCCGGCCGGCGCCGGGCCGGGGACAGGGCCGGGCGCGCCCTCCCGGCTCGGTGTCGGGACATTTTGTATTGCCTGATGGCATCGCCAATTGTGGCCTGGTCTCGCAAGAAATGCCACCAGGGTCTTGCCATTCATTCCAACGCACGCTAATTGGCCATATTTCGTGTTTGCTGTCAGATCGTCACCGCATTGCGTTCATGTCACACAACTGATTTGCCACCTGTTTTCTTGTGTTTTGACATGTCATCTCGCTTCATTTCGTAATGGCATGTGCTGTTGCTTTCATATCACGCGTTTCTGTATAATCTGAGTGTCGCGCTGGTCGTGTTAACTCCTCACTTGTTCATCATACGTATGGTAAAGTCTGCATGGTTTGGAACACGTGGGAGTATCCCTGTTCAAGGTAGGGTCGTCGCTGGCCTGTGTATGACGCTCCAGTGCCGTCATCATCGCCCCGCCCCCTCCCCCACTGACCGTGTGCCTCCGTGCGCCGCCCCCAGCCGGCTCCTCCAACGAGGACGACCAGGCGCGCATCGTGGCCCGCTTCGTCTCGCTCATCCCCAACATCTCGGACGTCAACTTTTTCTCCGGCATGTACGACCTCTGGACCACCTGCCAGGTGAGAGGCGCTCGCCACAGCCGCGTCGCAATGCTTGCTGTTGCTTGGACCCTACGTGGAGGTTCTTTGCGGATAGTGACTATTTTAGGTTCTGTGTGGAGAGTCACTGATGACAGGGTGCTTGGTGGATTGATTGGTTGAAGCAACAAGCGGGCCTCTACCAAGAGAATGGAATGGCCTGGAAGGTAAGCTGTTCGCCATTGGCGTGGGCTGACACCTCGAGACGACTTCTGCCGCCTGACCGGTGTCGGGGCGACATGGCGTGGTGCCAGTTAGGGGTGTTTGGAGAAGTGCAGGAAGATGTCCTTCATAAGGTCGTTGTGTATTCGGTACCGGTTTTACACAGGTGCCGTGCGTTCAGCGTCAGGATGTTGCTGAAAATTGATGCATGAGACGCGGTCAGCAGAAAGGCGCCTCGCCGTCCACCAGGCTGCTACACTCGGGCGCGCCTGACCCACCGTCCCGGCCTTCGTCCTCAGGAATTTCTGGACATGCAGGCTGGTGACGAGGAGGAGCACGCCATTCTCCTTTGCAACTTCTTCCTGTATCTCGGCAAGCGAGCCTACCTGGTGCTCGGTAAGCGGGGACGTCACGGTCTCATGTTCGGCTGGATAACGGCCTGATAGTCTGCTGCGCGGCGCGCGCACCATAGACGCGTGCGATGTGTTGCGTGATGTGATGTGTGATGCGATATGATGTGTGATAGGATGCGATGCCGCCTTGCGTGATGTGGATCGTCTGATCCTGTGGCGTACCCTCTGTCAGCTGTCGGAATGAATTAAGATTGATTTTAGCAAACAATAGCAGTACTCTTCCCCGGTCCTGCGCCGCCAGGCTTGGGCATGCAGGAAAGGCTGGAGGTTTCCCTGAGCCATTGTCAGCCCCGGTCCTGCGCTGCCAGGCTCGGGCATGCGGGAAATGCTGGAGGTTTCCCTGAGGCATTGTCAGCCCCGATCTTGCGCCGCCAGGCTCGGGAATCCCGGAGGGCCAGACGGCGTACGTGCTGACGGACGAGGCGACGGACCGCTTCCTGTGGAACCCGTGTTCCGGCCAGCGCAGCAGCGTCACCGAGAGTTTCAGCTACCTGCAGAACGTCGGCTGCCTCATCAACGCAGACAACGTCCGTGCGGCCCCACACGCTGGGAGGGCTGATCCACTGACGTGCGGCGGTGGGAGGCAGCCTGACCGGGCTCGGCCGGAATCACGGCTCACTAGCTGGGGGGGGGGGGGGGGGGGGGTATGCGGTAGGGCTTGGCAGTGCGCATATGAGAACCGCTTGGCGACTGGAACTGTCGATGTTTGTCACGGGGTGGTGTAAACCGCCGCACGGTGCAGCCCGTAACGCCATGTTACACAGTTTTACGGCCAGGGACGAAGGATCTGACTTATGCTTATTCTCATGCCCCTGCTTATGTTTGATAAGTTCCGTTTTGGAATGCCAGCTCGCGACAGCGTACGTCTCGTTCACTTGAAAAGACTCGTCGCTGCACGGGAGGTCCTTTTTCGCCACATTACGCTCCACAATCCCCGTCATGGCAGCAGCGCCGGCTGTGTGAGCCAACCAGACCCTGTGCCGGCGAGTGTCGGCGCGCGCGCTCGGCCACGTGTCTTCCCCGGAGGTGACTGTAGCTCGTCCGTGGGACGTCTCTGGCGGCAGGTGTGGGCCAACACGCAGGTGTACGGCCACCCGGCCGGCATGGCGTTCGACGTCAACCTGGTGCGCGACTGGCGGCCGCTATTCTCGAGCCGCCACCCGGCGCCGGCCGAGCTGGCGTCGGTGCAGGCGGCGGCGCTGCGCTACACCGACACCGACCCGGGCCGCGTCCAGGCCGAGGCCGACCGGCTGGAGCGCCGACTGCGCGATCTGCTGCAGGCCTGGCGGCAGCGCTCCAAATGGTCAGTGGGCCGGCCGGCCCGGCCAGCGCCGGCGCTGCGGGCGCGGGGCCGGCCTGACGACGGCGGCGTCTCCCGGTGTGCGACCCCACACGGGCGCGGAGCCGGCCTGACGACGGCGGCGTCTCCCGGGGTGCGACCCCGCACGGGCGCGGGGCCGGCCTGACGACGGCAGCGTCTCCCGGGGTGCGACCCCACACGGGCGCGGTGCCGGCCTGACGACGGCAGCGTCTCCCGGTGTGCGACCCCGCACGGGCGCGGAGCCGGTCTGACGACGGCAGCGTCTCCCGGGGTGCGACCCCGCACGGGCGCGGAGCCGGTCTGACGACGGCGGCGTCTCCCGGGGTGCGATCCCGCACGGGCGCGGGGCCGGTCTGACGACGGCAGCGTCTCCCGGGGTGCGATCCCGCACGGGCGCGGTGCCGGTCTGACGACGGCAGCGTCTCCCGGGGTGCGACCCGCACGGGCGCGGAGCCGGCTGACGACGGCGGCGTCCTGGTGCGACCCGCACGGGCGCGGAGCCGGTCTGACGACGGCAGCGTCTCCCGGGGTGCGACCCCGCACGGGCGCGGTGCCGGCCTGACGACGGCAGCGTCTCCCGGGGTGCGATCCCGCACGGGCGCGGAGCCGGTCTGACGACGGCAGCGTCTCCCGGGGTGCGATCCCGCACGGGCGCGGTGCCGTGACAGGTGCATGCCCCTGTGCACTCCGCTGGGATGACGTTTGCCTTACGCGTCATGCTGTCTTTTTCTCGTACGTGATTATCTGTGGTTGAGTCGAGTTTTTTTAGAAAAAGACCAGACCAAATGTATTTCAAGGATGGCTTCGGGAGCGACGCGCTCGCTAAGTCTGGCGCGTTTCAAAGACGCTGTCCCCGCCATCCCAACAGGTTAACCCCAACATAACTGATCATTATTTCCAACAGAAAAAAATTAGCGTGTCATGTGCCGTTGCCACCCGGCCGCCCCGTGCCAGTCTGCTCTTCGCTGGCTTTCTATTGGTCGTCACTGACGAATGGCGCCACTGCCCCCAGCCTGCTTGGTCCGAAATCGCATGTGTGCGGTGTTTGACACGTGCATCAGCACGTGCGCTGCACGGTGGTAATATGCTGCACTCTGGCAGAAGGGCTCCGGGCTCTGTGTGTGCGGTGTTTAACACATGCACCAGTGTGTGCGCCGCACGGTGGTAATATGCTGTACTCTGCCAGAGGGACTCCGGGGACGCCTGGACGCTACCGCTCTAGTTCAGACTCTTGTTTTCCTTTTTGAGTGACTTTTTGAGGTGTAGTCGGAGCCTTATGAGTGGATGAACTTTTGGGTCAGCGCTCACGCTGAGTCGTGTTTGCTGCGGGAGCTCTGTTCCCTCTGTCCGATCGTGAATTTCCAGAGCGCTGTCCCCGTCCTGTGACTCCGGGCCCGTGCCGGCCCGTGTTCGTCTGTAGCCGGCGCCCCCGTGTGTAGTCGGCGCCCCCGTGTGTAGCTGACGCCCCCGTCTTGCCGCGCCCAGTGTGCCCCCCGTGTAGCTGACGCCCCCGTGTGTAGCCGGCCCCCGTGTGTAGCTGACGCCCCCGTGTGTAGCCGTGTAGCCGGCCCCCGTGTGTAGCTGACGCCCCCGTCTAGCCTGGTCCACGTGTGTAGCTGAACGCCCCCGCCTGTAGCCGGCGCCCCCGTGTGTAGCTGACGCCCCCGTCTATAGCCGGCGTCCCCGTGTGTAGCTGACGCCCCCGTCTATAGCCAGCACCCCCGTGTGTTGCTGACGCCCCCATGTGTAGCCGGCGCCCCCGTGTGTAGCTGACGCCCCCGTTTATAGCCGGCACCCCCGTGTGTAGCTGACGCCCCCGTGTGTAGCCGGCGCCCCGTGTGTAGCTGACGCCCCCGTCTATAGCCGGCGCCCTCGTGTGTAGCTGACGCCCCCGTCTATAGCTGGCGCCCCCGTGTAACTGGCGCCCCCGTCTGTAGCCGGTGCTGCCGTCTGCCGGCAGGACGCTGTGGAACGGGTCGTGCTCGAAGGCGTTGCGGCGTATGCTGCCGCTGCTGGAGCGGTCCACCTTCACACCGGCGCTGACCCCGACCCAGCTGGCCGACGAACAGACCCGGATGCTCGCCAACATACACGCCACGTACAAGGTACCCCCCCCCCCCCCCCTCCCCCCGCCGCCGCCTTTTAACATGCATACCACATGCTGGAGTCGCTCCCCGGCCCAGGGTTCGCTGTCTGTCGCTTCTCCCCTCGCTCAGAATTGGCCAACCGGCGTCGGGCCAAACGGCGGTCAACCTAGCAGCTAGATGCCGCGGGCGGTAACGTAACGGTAACATGCCGCGTAACGGGTGGATGGGTCAAAATATGTCAGGTTGCGGGATGGAAGGAGAACGGATTAGCGACCAAGAAAACGCAGTGGGCGCGGAGGCAGCGGGACGGCCGAAAGATCGCTGGTTTGGATTTATATTTACATATTTGTGTCCTAACGGGACGTATTCTGGAATTATGCTTCCCTCGAAGACACAGGGTATTTACAATGTACGCCGCCGTCGTCCGGCATGCGCACCACGTGCGATATGTCGCACTCCCCCAACACACAAGTCATTTCCAGTGTACGCCGTCTCCTCTCCCAGCATGCACGCTGTCTGATGACGCCTGTGTGGGGAGAGCTGCTGTAGGCGAGGATAAAACTCACCCCGCTCTCGCCATCCGCCGGTGGGGCCGAGCCTCCGGCTGCGGCGCGTCAACCTGTTCAGCATGTTCACCTCGCCGGACGCCGCGTCGGCAGGTGTGCGGCGTGCCGTTGAACGTGCCGTACCACTCGCACGAGGCCGTCGTCGAGTCGCTGTTCGCCCTGGGCGTGCACAAGAACGACAGCCGCGACGCCGAGTTCGCGCTGGCCGTCCACATGGAGCCGTACCCGAGCGACATCGTCTCCGTCTGGGTGTACGTAGCTGCGCTCACCAAGCGCCGCTGAGCGCAGAGACATCTGGTGACAATTGACGGAACGTGACAGTCGCCGGAGCTACGACGGATGCCGCGTCGGCGGCCGCAGCGACTCGAATGCTCGTTGTCTGGTGCTCGTTGTCGATGTCTATCCTCCTTGATGAGAAGAACTGCTGATGTGTGTGGTGAACGCGTCATTTTGCGATCGCCGAGTGGGTTGCGTGCGACTCAAATTGAACAACCAGTTTATCAACAAGACTGGACAAGGTCTTCAAGTTGTTGCCAACTTCTAGTCATTAGCATTCCATCCATTTCCACTCAGTGGACCTTTCTAGTCAGCTGGTTGCAGCTTTTTTACTTAAAATTGTGTTATGTGTATGTCTAGTCGTGAACCAGCCCGTGTACCTGTCCCGATCTCGTAGTATGGCACTGATGTGAAGACGCTTGATGTGAACGGCGCTTGCTTTGTAGTATTTGGCATGACACGCGTGTTCTGCACGTAACCGCACGAATGCTGCTGAATATTATTCTGCGTTTGGCTGACTGTATTTGAATTATCCAGGCTGAATCTGTATTCGGACTATCCGTAACTGGTCCTTCGTTTGCGCTAGAGTGCTGATGAAATACGGCGTGAGGAATCGGATCGTTTGAGCATTGCAAGCTATGAGGCAGGTTGACAGTGTCACCTTGACAATGAGCACATATCACACAAGTAACGGTTCCAAACTGTACCGAGGCCCTGAGAGGGAGCAAGGTGCTCTGGAGGAATTCTTACTGACCCAAGCATCAGTCCCATCGGCCTCAACTACTGCCATGTCGGCAAGTGATTTGACACCTGACAGTGGCGAGACTGCTCTTTGGATAGTCTGGCCAAAGGTCACATAAAGCGACGAAGACAGCACGGATCGGAAAACCTGGGCATCTACAACAGCACACACGCTCGTTAGCTTGTACCACGTTGTGACTGGTGTGTAGTGCACGCCACGTGCGTTGGTACGTGCCGCCAGTGGACTCAAAACCTTCCTACCTGTCCCCCTCCCCGCCCCATCCCTGCACGTCGTCATCTCAGTGAGATCTCGACGCTCAAACCGCGCTCGGTGTTGCGCCCGCCATGGTTGACCGAGCGGGGCGCGCTGCTGGGTCTGTTGCCCTCCGGTGGCTCCGGCCGCACTCACCGGCCGCGGCACGGCCGGGCAGAGCCTCGGGCAAACAAACAGCGAGCTTGTCAGCCATCAGGCAAACAGACACCAGACCTCTCAGCCGTAGACAGACAGACGCCAGGCATGCATCCGGCGCTGGCATGCAGGACGTCCGGTAGCTGCCGCCGCCCCGTCAGCCAGGGGTGACGTAAGCCTACGCAGCGTGACGTCACCGGTCCGAGCGTGACCTCACTGCGCGGCGACCGGGGCGGCGCCGAGTCATGACTGGCTGCTAGGCTCGCACCTGGCGCGTCCCGTCGCCGGAGCAGCTGAGTATGACCGTTCGGTCGGTGACTGCGCTGGAGCGGCGATGCAACACGCTCGGGCCGCCCCGTCGCGCCGCTGAGCGCCGCGTCAACGCTGGTAGAGAGCGAGCCTCAGGCCTACGTCATGCTGATCTGCCTTTGTTGATTTGCGAGCTGGTATGTGGCGCCACGGTGAGGGCTTTCTAGCTATGCATTAAGGGCTTCCTAGCTTAACAGCTGCTCCTTATGCTCCTTCCGTTCATTTCAGTTGTCATTCGAAAGTAGGAGGGTCAAGCACGCATGCGTCGATATTATCTTGTTTTGTAATGCCGAAGAAAGCTTGTCGAGAAGGAATGAACATGAAATCGAACCTGGTTAAAGCTTTTGTCAACACCGGGAAGAAAACAAAAGCATCGTTTGGTCGCCTAGGCAATGTTCTGCATAATCCAGTCAGTGTAGGCGCTGACCCTGGTGTACAGCCCAGGGTAGTCGGGGTTTCCGCAGCCCACCCCGGCCGACACGATGCCGATCAGCTGGTACGAGCCGTCGCCGAGTTGCTGCACCAGCGGGCCGCCCGAGTCGCCGCCGCACGCGTCACGCACTGCTCCGTTCTCGCCGGCGGCGCAGAGCTTGCTGCCCTGGAACCCTCCCGGGAAGTTATCGGCGAACGAGGGCAGGACCCGGTAGCGCGCCTCGCAGTCGGCAGGCGCCACCACCACCAGCTCCACCTGCTGGAGCACGTCCGAGGTCTGGCCGGCGAACGCCGTGTTGCCCCAGCCGGCGAGCAGGGCCGGCCTGCCGGCAAGCGCCGCGGCCGGCCGGCCCGGCGGCGGCAGGCAGACCGGCTGGATGTGCGTTCCGAGCGGCACCGGCTGCCCCAGGCGCAGCACCGCCAGGTCGTTCTGCTTGGCCGCGTAGCCGGGGTGCACCAGGACGGCGGCGGGCGTCATGTCGAGAGTGGGCCCGTCGCTGGTCTTCGAGAGGTCGTACTCGCCGAGCCGCACCACCAGCCTGTCGGCGGCGGTGCCACGCACGCAATGCGCGGCCGTCAACAGCGCGCGCCGGCCGACCAGCACAGCGCCGCAGAACCAGCGCGGCGCGCCGGTGTCGGCCCGCTCGCCCAGCAGCGCCGCCCACGGCCAGCGCTCGCGGTCGGCGTCACGGCCGCCCACGGCGCCCAGCAGCTGGCGCCGGCGCCGGCCCAGCAGCTGGGAGCCCGCCAGCTGAATGCGGCCGCACTGCAACAGCGGATCGGCCGGCCTGACAGTGGGTGTGGGCCTCACTGTCGTCATGATTGGGGGCTGGGGCCTCCAGGCCGGCGGCGGCTCCGGCTGCCAGGCCGGCGGCGGCTCCGGCTGCCACGCCGGGGGCGGCTCCGGCTGCCACGAGCCCGGTGGCTTCGGTTTCCACGCGTCCGTTTGTTTCGTCTGCCAGCTGGGCGGCGGCGGCCGTCGCGGTCCGGGCGGGGGGCCGCGCTTCAGACAGCAGACGTACGCGCCGCCGGGCCCGCAGGACGGTGACGGCAGCGGCACGCCGGGCGCGCACAGCTGCGGCTGCACGCACAGTACGCGGCCGCCCGGCATCGCCGGGCAGCCGGGGTCGGCCATCGGGGAGCGGAACGCCATCTGCGCCCGCGCGGCAACGGTCAGCCACAGGCACGCCCGGAGAGCAGCGGAGGGGCGCATGGCGACCGCCAGGTCCGCCACCGCCGGTGCTGCAGCTGTGTCTGTCTCAGGCCCGGAGACTGGCCTCCGGAGCCGCGGCTGCGGCCCAGTGGCTGACGGGACACGCCGCCTCGCCCTTGAGGCGGTGATGGATGGACGGTTCGGTGTTGGCTCAGTCACGACTGAGAGCTTACCCAGAGAGATGACAATGTCAGGGGCAACGGCTGAGTCGCTCTTGTCGCCGCTGCACGGCTTCTCGTCACTGCTTGTCACTTCCCTGCCGGTCAACTAGCGGCGATATTCACTCCACCGACCGAAGCACGTCACCTTTCACCTCTGAATTCTCCCCTCAATAGCACACCTCCGTGTGTCACCCAGTCCTCTGCCAGCGGCCCCCGGCCCCGCCTGTCCAGCGAGCCGGCGGGGTGTGGAACGGTCGGCCTGCTGGCGTCGAGTGACCTCCGCTGTCGCCCGGCGCTCCGACCGTGCAGGATTTCCGCCCCCTTCTCCATGACCGGTGACGCGGCGACGGCGGCGACGGCGGCGCCGGCGCTGCCGTGTGTGCATATGCTAATGGTGGGCATGACGGGAGGTGGAAAACCCTGCTTGTGAGCATGGCAGACACACAGGAGTCGTCGGGGGTGGACAGGTGGGACGAAGAAAAGGCAGGGAAATTAGACTCATGGCCACTGGCCAGGAGGCCGTCGGGGAGATGGCGGTGTAGTCTGGAAGCTATCCACGTGCATGGCCTCACGTGTACAGCTGTGGACATGAAAAGGTCGTCATTTCCTCGAACTTTCTAAGGTCCACCGCACTGTGGCAGTGCGCTGGGCCTGTGTGGACATATCCATAATATACCCAGCATCGGACAGCAGCGTCGCCCATTGACAACGTTACGCATGTTTGGTCAGTTTCGTAACTTAGCGGACCTTCATTTTCAACACACACAGATCTAAAACACCATGGCCAGGTGCTGTTCGGGTGTTTGCTCACTATAGCTCAGTGAACAGACAGGATCAGGGTTGGACTTGGTAATTAAAAGAGCCCCATTGGAATTCAAACAAATTAAACGAGAAAATCCAGGTTGTGACGCGTGCATGACTGAAAATCAGACACCATCAAAGCTTTCTCAGGTCCCTACAACACCTGACGAGGGCCGTGGAATTAATTGGTAGAAACGTCATATGCACACTAGCATACCAGACGAAGGCGATAGCGCGAAATGATTCCATCTGATACCAATGATCAAAGGAATTGGCCCATCTAATGTCTGTCTTCAATACCACGAAAAACATGCCAAATCAACGAAGATATGTTACTGTTTGGTATGCAATAAGTGTGGACTAGTCACAGATCAGCAAACACCGGTCTGACTCACGGCTCCGCGTTGTTTGATGAGAAGCCACAGAGCTGTACAGTGCGAGGCTGATTTGCTTGCTCAGTTTATTAGAAGTGTCAGTGACGCATGCATCATTCAACGCATTGGGAGAGCCGGCGGCGCCGCGGTCAGTGGCACGATCATGGGAGCGGTGGGGTCGGCCGGGCGGTGTTTGGGGTTGATCTACAGCCCTGGATCATTTGGGGATTTGCCGCCAGGTTTATCTGTATTATCGTATTGTTAGAAAAATTAATTTGAAATCGTTCCCCCCGCCCCTCCTTGTTTTTTGGAGTTCGATGTGTCTCCGCTCAGTGGGAGTGTATGGAATATCTTTTAGGAATTTTCGTTCGTTCGTTCGTAAGTTCGTTCGTATTTAACACTTCGGCATAGCATTCGTACCCTTTGAACAAGTATGATGCGGTCTCTTGAAGCGCAAAATGACATGGAACGATAGATCAAGAAGTGTATTTGGTCCAAAACATTGAGGGAAGAGCATTCGGGATGTTGAAAAGCCCTTGCGAACATTCAAGCAAACAGATGAAAGGCCACGTTGCCCGTTAATATTACACACATGATTCAATTACAGGCTAACGGCATATTACAGTGCATCGCAACAGTTTGTACTTCAATGATACCATAGGAACGGGAGGGCAGAGCAACGAGGTATGCACAAAATAACGAGAAAACAGAGCAAAACACAAACAAAAGACAGGAAACAATACTTACGAGCATAACACGACCAGCAAAAGCCAACTGAACACACAAAACACGCGGCACACATGTTGCGGATGGGCTCAATCATCAAAAACCTTTTTTGCAAGAGCTTCTCCTGAAAACGGTAGCCGAAGGATGAATCCGCTTAAAAGGAAGTATTCTCCTGTCGCTGACAGCGACCGTACGCCAGAACACGCTGCCTTGATGGAAGGTAAGACGCAATCAAACGCCACGATGTTATGATCCGTTTAGTCATCAATAAGTCGGAACAAAGCATGTCAACAGTCATAAAACGTCGAAGTGACAGTGGCAGGAAAATCTGAACGCTTGCCTACCTATTGTTACAGCAGCCAATGCTATTTAAACGCTCTTAAAGCCTCATTCAATATTATAGAGGGGAGGGGAAAACATTTTAAGCGAATTTGAGTAGCCTATCTCAAGTCACTTATATCGCATGACTGTCGTTTTTAACGTATTTTTTGTGGATCACATAGTCAGATACCCTAAGAACGTTTTTTAAACGTGCTTTTATGGATGACAAGACCAGTTAGTTCTCCAGCTACAAGTCTTTCAAACACTCAGTGGCCGCGAGAAGGCGGCAGAAACGCAAACAGTGGAGACTGGACCACGCGCCGCATACAGATCGCTGGCGTTCCACCCCGGGACGTCCATGTCGGGCTCCAACCAAACAAACCCAGCAGGATATCCGTATAAATACGCCCAAAGCAAGGCTGCAATCCTCCGACCGCTGCGCTCAGCTGGGTCACCAGCTCTCGCCCAGGGCGATGCCGTCCTCCCTCGAACAGCAGCGGCCCCGTGTCGCCTCTCTCGCCGCCGGGTCGGGCCGGGTGACCTCCGAGGCCAGTCTATCGCTGCACGGGGCACGAGTTGAGCAGCACGTTGGTCAACTGCGCCATGTCGCTCCAGCGGCGGCGCACGCCGTTCAGCTCCACGTCGCGGATGCAGCCCTTGAAGTTGTCCGTCTGCAGCAGGGTAGGGTTCGGCGCCGCGTCTGCTGACATCACGCCCACGGCCGTTAGAGTGACGGTCGGCCCACACAGGCGCCGCAGCGGCTGACATCACGCCCACGGCCGTTAGTGTGACGGTCGGCCCACACAGGGGCCGCAGCGGCTGCAGCTCCAGCGCGGGCGGCGTACATCATGGACCGGAGGCGTGACATTTACTACACTGGGACCGGCGGGGAGTAAACACCGATGACGCCATGTGACAGGCACGCCATGGCCAAAGCATCTTATGTGGCAGTGCAGGTTTGGGCGTTCTGCGTAGCACAAAACGTAGTACACACGCATAGTCACCAAATGTGCTACGGCAACCATAGTTTAAGTATCATGAGCTATGCTCAAAGGTGATGCAGTACGCATCGCGTTCACATCCGCACCCATCATCTCATATATCTCCACTTTTATCAGCGAAGTGTTCGGAGACCCGGACTCGTCTCTGCTCTCCACCACGCCGCTGGTCTGCGCTGGCCACTGGGGCGGACAGGTTTTCCAAGGAGTGAGGAGAGGACCGGACGGAAGAGCGACACCCACCTGGCAGTCCGCCGACGTAGAGGGCGCCTGAGAGGCCGGCCCAGGGCGGTGCGGCGCCGCCACGAGCGGAGACAGTCCGCTGCGGCAGCTGGTCCAGCCGGAGCGTGACCTGGTGACAAGCGGGGCAGACCGGTCAGCTGTCACACCTCGGCTCGGCGGCCGTCCCACAGCTGAGCACCACGTGAGCGTCACGACCAAACACAACTGCTGAGGAGCGGGGCGAAGAACACGAGACCAAGCCTCACAATGAGAAACACGGCAGTGCAATGGTGCAGCAGGCGACACCTGGCGACTGGCTGTGCTGTCGCTCACGACTCACGTGCTGAGTTGTCATCCTCACCTGCCGCTTCACGACCGGGTCGTCAAGCAGTGCGGACTCGTTACCTTGTTCCCGGTGTACGTGGCCCTGGCTGAGTGCCACTGGTTGTCACACAAGATGTACTTAGTGGAGAACTTCTGGCGGGCTCTCAGGGCCTCCCCACTCCCGTCATCCACGGAGAATACCACCTGGAATGAGGGTGCATCAATCAAACCACGAATCACTATTTTGGGAGGTTTGTCACACGGACGTAAAAAGTCATGCCCATCTAATCAACACTGCCTCTTCCCAAACAAAACATCATCAATCTAAAACAAAACAACTTAACAGACATCCGTTTGCAGGCATGGCTCTAGCTCCACAATCACAGCAGGCTGAACTGGCGTGCTGTTGGCACCTTCCCAGACAGCTGATGCCCGGAGCTTCCCCGGCTGCATTAGCGCGCATCAGCTGATCATGCTGACGACCAGCAGCATCAGCGCGTATCAGCTGATCACGCTGATGACCAGCACCATCAGCGCGGCCCTCCAGCGGTCGAGCCACACCCACCTCGCCGTCAGCGATCTCTAGCGAGAGGGCGGCAGCACCCGGCGCTCCAGCCAGGCTGGCCAGCACGCCGTTCAGCTTGGCCGTCCTGAAGTCCAGCCGCAGGTCGAATTTGTCGCCCAGCACCACGCCGTCAGCTGGCCGGTACGGAGCGGCACGTGAGCACGACGGCCGCCAAACGCCGCGCCCAATGGCGCCCAAACAGTAGCGATGTACCTTAGGTTCGTGCTCGAGATGATAGGACCAGGGTCAGTAATCGCCCGGAGGTGTGCCGGTGCGGCAGGTCGACATACGGGCCACGGCTCAGCCAAGCTGCATTTGTAACGTTCCATTAAGTTGCAAAGGTGTCAAGCTTTAACCGCAAGTTGTCGTTTAAGGCACAGACATGCATGAATTATTGACAACGTTGCACCAGTCTAGTAGCCGTACGGACAGCCGTGTGAATGACGTCACGCGACCTCGGTCTGTACTCAACGTGCGTCTGCCCTGTCGCTTATCATCAGCCGTAAGCGTGTCCCCGTGAGTTTTTCTATCTAGTTCTTACCGTATGTGGCGAAAGCGTCGCCGGCGAAGAATGTGCCCATCTCGACCCTGGCCATGCACTGGCCCACCCGATGGATGATGTTGCGGCCGGAGGGCAGGTCAATGTCCCGACCGCTGATGCTCAGCTGCTTCATGCAGCCCTTGAAGCCCTCCGTTTGCTGAAGACGTCATGAACAAAGCTCAGGTTGTGGGCGATGCAGTACGCGCAACTGTGGGGCATAATGCGGTAAAGCAAGTGCCTCATAGCTGTATCTGGGGACGAACCAACGTTTGAAAACTACATGTTTGGTCTAGTGCACTCATTTCCGTGTGACAATGCATAGAGAAAATAGCATCTCTACCTAAAAATAAAACAATGCTCGTCTATTGCGCAACACTGGCGATCACACTCCGCCAGCCGCCGTCTCACTCACCAGCATCTCCAGCTTCTTGCGGCCGGGCACGAGCGAGTTGGCGTCGCGGCCTCGCTGCTCGATGCCGGCCCGCGGCACGCCTCCCACGTAGAGGGCGCGGCCGGCACGGAACGAGCGCGGCCCGCGCCTGCTGGCCGGCGGCGCGCCGCCCACCAGCAGCGTGTACTTGCGTCTGGTCCGCACCAGCGTCGCCTGCCCGGCGGAAGGTCAGGGGTCACATGCAGCGGGGCGGAGAGGCCGGAGGAATCCACAGGGGTCAGTAGCGGTGATCGGAGCGGAGCCAGAGAGGTCAGGAAGTGTCGCACAGCGGCAGCACGGCTCAAGCTGCCCGCATAGGGCACAGCATCTCAGTGGTTGTACAGTTGGCGTCGGCGTCTGGCGTCGAAGGAAGTGCTGCGTAAGGCGGCAGTACGTTACGACATCGTATGCCACATTTCCATCAACGCCATTCAGTGCGAGACCGCTGGCAGAGGCGCCTTCAAATGTCAGGGGACGTGGCATGGCGACACGTTTCCGCGGGAATTCTCGGGACGGGAGGCGTGGCGATACGTTCCCGCGGGAACTCTCGGGACACGTGGCGTGGCGACACGTTCCCGCGGGAACTCTCCGGACGGGAGGCACCCACCGTCCTCCAAGCCACACTTTGAGACGCAATGAGTGCCAGGTGTGAAGACGAGGCATGGAAGAGCACCCACCATCTGCCAGTTGCCGTCGTTCAGGCCGGATCCAGCGGTGAGACGGGCGGTGCGCCGGCCTCGTCGCACAGTCAGCTGCACCGCCCCGTCCCGCAGACCCAGCGACAGATATGAGCTGCGTCTGCGAGTCTTGCCCTGCGGCGGAGACGCACAACCTACTTCGCTGACGTCCCCACGCCGGGGCACTGTGTACAGGGTGGGACCATGCGGGACATGGGCTGGCTGGGCACCACGCGACGAAGGCGCGGTGGAAACCCGCCTCAAACGCAGCCGGGGCAGGAGAGTGGAGCACTGTGTTTAAAAACCAACAGTGCAACACCATATCTAACAGTCAACAGTGGAACACTATGTTGAACAGCCAACAGTGGAACACTAAATCTAACAGCCAACAGTGAAACGCTATGTTTGACAGTCACCAGTGGAACACTGTGTTTAACAGCCGAATGGAATACTATGCTTAACAGCCCACAAAGAATTTACTGAAAAGACGTGGGTGGCACGACACTGCTGGAATGAACTAAGATTCCTTATCGGCACAAAATGTGCCAATAAATTTTACTTCAAAACATAAGCCAATGACAAGACACAACCGTACTGGGATGATGTCACGCTAAACCGAAAGGTAGGGTTTGCACGCGCCGTTGTCAGCAGTTCCGTGTTTACGCGCCGTTGTCAGCAGTTCCGTGTTTACGCGCCGTTGTCAGCAGTTTCGTGTTTACGCGCCGTTGTCAGCAGTTCCGTGTTTACGCGCCGTTGTCAGCAGTTTCGTGTTTACGCGGCGTTGTCAGCAGTTCCGTTGTTACGCGGCGTTGTCAGCAGTTTCGTGTTTACGCGGCGTTGTCAGCAGTTCGCGTTTACGCGCCGTTGTCAGCAGTTCCGTGTTTACGCGCCGTTGTCAGCAGTTCCGTGTTTACGCGCCGTTGTCAGCAGTTCCGTGTTTACGCGCCGTTGTCAGCAGTTCGTGTTTACGCGCCGTTGTCAGCAGTTTCGTGTTTACGCGCGTTGTCAGCAGTTTCGTGTTTACGCGCGTTGTCAGCAGTTCGTGTTTACGCGGCGTTGTCAGCAGTTTCGTGTTCACGCGCCGTTGTCAGCAGTTCGTGTTTACGCGGCGTTGTCAGCAGTTTCGTGTTTACGCGCCGTTGTCAGCAGTTTCGTGTTTACGCGCCGTTGTCAGCAGTTTCGTGTTTACGCGCCGTTGTCAGCAGTTTCGTGTTTACGCGCCGTTGTCAGCAGTTCCGTGTTTACGCGCCGTTGTCAGCCGTTCGTGTTTACGCGCCGTTGTCAGCAGTTCCGTGTTTACGCGGCGTTGTCAGCCGTTTCGTGTTTACGCGCCGTTGTCAGCAGTTCCGTGTTTACGCGCCGTTGTCAGCCGTTTCGTGTTTACGCGCCGTTGTCAGCAGTTTTCGTGTTACGCGGCGTTGTCAGAAGGTTTCGTGTTTACGCGCCGTTGTCAGCAGTTCCGTGTTCACGCGCCGTTGTCAGCAGTTCCGTGTTTACGCGGCGTTGTCAGCAGTTCCGTGTTTACGCG